AGGTCCTCTTGAAAGACACGATGTCATGGTACTGTGCAGTTTAGCCAACAACTCGAGCAAAAGCAAACAAATAGCAAGAGAACGGGAGATCAATGAGGCCATACCCAACTATACCCGTACATTAGTAGTGCTCGTGCATGCGTGGTGTCTGTGGCCGACCCCCAAACGCTTCCGTCAATTTGCTGCCTGGTTCGGGGCGGTAGCCCACTCCATGAACTCCATGTGCCAGCTGTCTACCACCACATCCTCGAGTGGATGGAAACAGGGGCATCAGGGATGCGGTATTGTACGTGATGCGAGATAGACACAAACCACCACACAGAACGGACACGCACGCACACACCCACACACACACACACACACACACACGCACACACACACACACACACCCACGCACGCACGCACGCACGCACACCCACGCACGCACGCACGCACGCACGCACGCACGCACCCACACACACACACACACACACACGCACGCACGCACGCACGCACGCACCCACCCACACACACACACACACCCACGCACGCACGCACGCACGCACGCACGCACGCACGCACGCACGCACGCACGCACGCACGCACGCACGCACGCACGCACGTGCACGCACGCACGCACGCACGCACGCACGCACGCACGCACGCACGCACGCACGCACGCACGCACGCACGCACGCACGCACGCACGCACGCACGCACCCACACACACACACACACACCCACGCACGCACGCACACACACCCACGCACGCACGCACGCACGCACGCACGCACGCACGCACGCACCCACGCACACACACACACACACACACACACCCACGCACCCACGCACCCACGCACCCACGCACCCACGCACGCACGCACGCACGCACGCACGCACGCACGCACACCCACCCACCCACGCACGCACGCACGCACACACACACACACACACGCACAAACACACGCACCGACAACGAACAACAAACAACGGACAGGAGTGGATAGGCGCAAGAACACGCTAGAGCCTCAACTTGACATGACGGGATGATCCAAGCGCTCGATGCCATCCATCCTCTGCACTTCGACAAGGATTTCGACTGATTGAGAATGGACACATTTAAACCAAGCTCTGTCAGCAGTGAACTTAGAGTGGCACTTGCACGCAAAGGAGCTCCGCCAAACTCGCAAGCTTAGTTGGAAATCAAAGCGGTGAACAACTCTTTTGCCGATGCCTGCCTTGGTCTTTCACTGCTCCACAGAGCTTTAGCCGAACAATGTTCGGCCAGGCTGATGGCAGCCAAGTTGCGTGATTGACAAGATTGCTGGTGTTCAGGTATCCGTAGACATCATAGAGGTTGCTCTGCTGGTCGAAGGCATCAGGCGACATCGGGAAGTTCACAGTGATGGGCGTGCCTGGCAAAAGCTCAAAACGCTTTGCGTGGAGCAAAGTGGCAGCCAGTTGGAATTAGAGCCATCACGCGGCAAAGTACCCGGTAGTCTGACGGTTGTCTTCGTGCAGTCTTGCCGTAGTTGTCTTCGCATAGAAATCGCACAATCTGTTCAATTGGCTTGTAGTAAACCCTGCAAATCCCTACTACGCAACATTCAGTGAGCCAACAGCTGGCTGGCAAGTTGTTCGCAATCGCGTAGTTTTCGATCAGTGTTGTTCTCGGTCTTGTGGCCGGCCAGATCGACTAGATGTTTGCGCTTTGACAAAAAAGTGCCCATAACCAGGTTTACCTCGGCCTGCATGCTATGGCTTGTTTGTCCTCCTCTTTCGGTTTGCAGCAGTTCTGCCTAGTTGTAGCCCTTAAAGAGACCCTATAAGGGACGTTACTTTACATAACGAGTCGCACTTGTTTTAGTGCATGGAGCAAATCACAAACTTGCAGCCCTTCCGCTGCTGGAAGCACACGCTCAGCATGAAGCCCGCCCTGTGACGTATGGTGTACAATTTCAGTGGCACGGGACCAGGCATATACCACCATCGCTGCAGCGACAAGACATGGTTCAGTCAGGAATGTTGTATGGACACCGAGGCAACACAAAGCAGCTTGCCTGTAGCGAAGTTATCGCGATTGATATTGAAGAAGGTGTTCCTCAGCAATTCGGTTGCGCATGGACGGCTGAGTTGATCGACCTGCCACTATTTGTTTTCTTCAAATCTACTTTCGTCGGCCAAACATGGATCTTGCACGCACGCAAATCGCCACCGCGCACAAGTCAACTAACGGCTGCCGAGAAGCACATACGAGGAGTCCGGGATGAACCACTCAAGCTTGAAGTCCTCTCCAATAACCGCCCAACTGTTCAGCCACTTACGATGCTTTACCTAGAGATCAACTGGCATGTGAAGCCTGTACATGCCAATGATTTCTTCGGCCCAACTTGCTTCCCAACCCCGCTGAATGTTCCTTGTAGATCTGTGTGCTTCCATAGATGCCGATTCCAGTGACAGCCGCGAAGACGATGAAGGTCACAATCTGTCCGTGGCTTCACTCGCAAGATTTCTGACTTGTGAGGTGCTCCCATGGTCCAAACAAAGACCTTAGCGGGCACCAGTGACCAACCCTTGGAAGAAAAAGACCTCAACACCTGTCCACCTGGCCCTACGTCCATGCATAGTATTTGAGCAGTATTTCAGCCGGATTCATGATAAGTCATGCTCATGACTATCCTCCTGCAGCTAGCCGGCTGCATCCTCAAACACGTGGAACAAACGATGATGATAACCACGATGGTGACAATGAATGATCATAACGATGACTGTGACGATAACTATCGTCATCGCATCCTCTGCATCGCAAGCGGACGAGCATAATAACCACGATGATCATGATCATGACTATAATGACAACTTTCATTGTACACATAACAAAAATAGGAAAGAGGAGAAACAACGATGAGTAGCATGATGATAATAGACGCCGATGATAGCCAGGATGATGATGAAATGATGACAACTGTGTGATACTTGGTGCCACAATTCTAGCTTGGAGCCCATCCATCACAGGATCCTTTTCAACTGGTTCGCCAATGCTACTTGGAGCATTCCAGGATTCCAGGGGGATTTCTCAAGATGTGGCATTGAGAAAAATCATCGACGTCAGAGTGGCCTGGCCCACTGGCTTCGTCATCTGCTCGGTAAAGCAGACCAAGCCTGTCAAACGGAGCGATCTCGTTTGAGGCACTGGGCAGCATTTGCAGGGCGCAGAAAGGTGCATCCTGATCAATGGCATCCCAAAAACCCAAAAATTTGGATGATCCAGAACATTGGAAAGCGCTTGCTCTCGAGACATTGATACAGTAGCTGTGATATACCGGTAATGTGTTGCAATGAAGCAAGTGTCGCTTGCAGCTAGCAGCAGCTAGCACAGCCTTCAAGAGAGGCCGCACTTGGCAGGGGAACCCAAGGTCAAAAGCAGGCTCGGGCCAGTCGGGACTGCATCCAAAGCACAGCACATCTTGAGGCATCCTCTTGCCACATGTCGCCTTCCGAACCTTCCATCCCCCCCCCCCGCCCGGCCGCCCCCCGGGCCTTTCTTAATGAAGCCTCCCTGCAGCACCTGTGAGGCATTATGAGTGCGAGCGCGCTTTCCGCCGGGCTCGGATGCCGGGCTCAAGCAATCAATGGATTGAAAGCAAAGGCTGGCCCAGCAACCCTCCCGACCAACACCAAAAGACATGGCCTTCTTGACGCGACACCGCGTGAAATTTTGAGATGATGGTGCTTGCTTCAGTCATCTTGTGTTCATGCCAGAACAAGTAGGGGCAAGCATCTGTAGATTGAGAAAGCCAAACTGCTTCATCTGAATCTGGGAGTTGGAAGAAGCATGGCAACTATATGTGCATAATGTGCAAGCAAAACCGATCTGCAACAATAAATGGCAGGAACACGGTGCGGCCACAGCTTGCAGTCACAGGTCCTAGCATCCAACTCGTCACTTCCCCAAAACCAATGCCTGTTAAAGTTGCCAGATCAACAACAAGCTTGCTCTCAAGCTCGAAATCACGCAGATCTCGCGTGCCTTCTTGGGCAAACAGCAGCAGCAGCATCCCTGCGGGTCATCCGCCGACCGCTCTGAGACCGTGAAGCAGCAGCAGCAATCCACGCGGTTTGAGCGAGTGCCTTGGACAACACACGAATCCTGACGATACCCAGCCGCTGCCTATTTCACATCGGGCTCGGCTTTTCAATTGCTTGCTAACTCAGCATGTGTCTATGAGGCAAACCACAAAGCTATTGAACAGGTCAAACACCCAGTGAACAATTGGCTGTTGCGGATCTTTGAGATGCTTGAGAGCCGCGCTCAGGCTGGGCAACATACAAAGGCATCTGCTGAAGAGTTCTGATTGCTTTCATCCTTCTTTCAAAACATATCTGCACACCCTGGGGACAATATGTACAAAAATGAAAAGAAAATGCAACGGGGAAAAGCAGACTCATACAACTAATACCAGACTGTGCGTCTTTCACCATGCAGCCTGCCTCCATACATGTACCGGAAGAGTGTGTTGTTCAACACGCACTTGCAGCTTGGGGAATCATGAACAGTATCACCTGCCGACGAGCTGGATTACGTGAAAGGTACGAGTTGCCCCCAAATCAACTTCCGGGATGAGTCGCTGTCCGCATAAAGCCTGCTTGCAAGAAGGATGCTCTTGGGCCAGGCAACTCAAGAGTGCTCCCCGGGCCCAGTTTTTTGTTGCTTTAAGAATTTGCCAGGCTGCGACGCGCGTTCAATGCCAGGACAGGGAGGAACACGGTCAGCTGAAAGGTGAAGCAAAGGACAATGGACACGCCTGGGCGTGTTTAGTTGTCCCATCAAAAACCACATTGCGAGTAAAATTAATTTTCCAGTTGCTGGAGAGGGCCGCGATTGACTGGCCAGTTTGGTATCATCTAGGGGTAGAACACCTTGTTTTGCAAGCTTCTTTCATGATGTCAAACCTTGAGTTTGATTACAGGCTGCAGTACAAATTGTGCTGTTTCTGGCTGCTCTTTTTTGCGGACAACTGGACACCAACAACTGCAACTGCACTCTTGGCCAAAGCATTGGCAGTCAAACTTGTGCTGTTTAGTTTGTGTTGGGTGCTTTTGAGAATGCGCTCAGGTGAAAAGCTGCTGAGGCAGCTCAAAACACCTTCACTACAGGTATCAGTGTGAACAGCGGGAAGACACTAGAATGGAAATTTGAGGATGCTGCATGTTGACACACATGCCGACGAATTGTGATCAATGGTCAGCTGCTCCCGCCTCTCAAAACATCTAATCTACATCTACCCTTGCTTTGAGGCGTGCTTTGTTCACTCGTACCAATAGAGCACAAACGGCAAGTCAAACCCGCCACATTGGCAATGGCATGCCGGAGCTCTTGCGTCCTTTCGCTTGCAGGACGTGTCTTCATTGACAGCTGTCAGCCGGGCTGGAGAAGAATGGAGACTGCGGTCCTACCCTGGCGACCCGTCGGTTCATGTCATCCCAACCGCTTTAAGTGGCCTGCGTAGGTGCAGAACCAGCCCAGTGCCGGCAGCACAGTGGTGGCGCCAACCAGGAACGCCAAGGCGTCAGTGGCAGAGGTGATGAGCACCTCGAGATACCCAAGCAGGCGCCAAAGAGATGGCGATTGCTTTCTACAGTACAAGCCAAGCCGCCATCAGAAAGCGTAGGTTGCTACAGATTCCCGCCTAATCATCCTTGCCGTGATACCTAACTCGGACCGACGGAAACAAGCGCTCGTTGGCGATGAACTGCCCAGTTCTTGTGGAGTTCTTGAGGAGCGTCAGTGGGGGTAGTTGGGTATTCCCAAGGAAATTGCAAGCTTCCCTACCACTTTCTAGAGCTCCTTAGCATCCCTCCCCAAGGTCCCCCTAGAGACCCCAAAAAGATTCTAAGGCTCCCTTGGGCCCCCGTTCCGTTTTGAGTGGGCTGAACGACGGCTTTGCCCCCACGCCACAAGTGCGTGCGCTGCAGGGCAACCAAGCATTCAGCGCGAACGCAGACCCATCGGAAAGGCCAAGAGAAGCTTTGGGAATCCTGAAAATTCAATGGGAGGCTTGGCTCAGGGAGTGCTGGGAAGCTTCGGGAGCACTTGGAGAAGCGAATTGGAGACCGGCGACTCACAGGCTCACACTTTTTGGGGCAGTCTGCGACTTCTGATTTTGAACTGCGGTGCTCCCTAGTCCACGCCATGATACCCCGGCCCCTTACACCCCTCAAGACCTCCATCAAGTTCTCTTCTGCCACGGCACCGAGATGCCTCCAGTGCGGGCCGTGCGAGCAATCAGCTCCGCCACTGAGGTGCCCTCACCCTGCGCAACTGGCATGGACATGGCCCAAATGAAGTTATCCATCTTGAACATGGATAAACACCCTTCTTGGCTTGTGACCGAAGAAATCTGCTCCGAGACCGATGCAAACCAACAACCAGTTGCCCCAGGTGAGTCACAATCAAAACCCGGTATTAAAATGGTCTACCCAGAATCATGTAAAGAATCAAGAAGGCGGCCGCAGCTATTTATGGTTGGGGCTGTCCCTTACTAACCTTCATCTACCCGGGTTTTGATTGCAGTCGCTCCAGGTTCCCCTCCTTGGAGGTGGCCATGTGCCGCGCAAACTCCGAGCTGAGCACGAAGGCATCGTCCACACCCAGGCCCAGCAGCAGGAAGTAGAGGTTGTTGTTCAGGTTGCCTCAGGTGAGAGGCGAATTACTTCAAGGTTCCGAGAAAACGGAGGCATTTAAGTCAACTGTTCAGTAGAAAAGTTGTTCAGGGAACAGCAGCGCGTTGTAGCGTGCCGCTACAGATTGCGCGTGAGGATGGGTTCCAGGACCCATTGACTCAATGAAGCTGGATGTGACAGCAACCAACTATGACCATACTACTCATAAGCGCACAGGCAGTTCATCTGGATACCACTGCAACATCTGTTGACTCAGTTGACTCAAAGTCAAAAGCAACATGGGAAGAGCCTTCATACTGCACCTGTCCGTGCACAATCTACTTGCTCCCCGTGACCAGCGCAGTCATAATATCAAAGCATGAGAAAGCAGCGCCTGCCTGTGCAACACTGGCTTGTCACCGTATACACGAATCTTGCACCTTTCCTCCAGAAAATGCGGTGTGCACTTTCCCGACACGGCATGACATTCCGAGATGTCGGCAGGCCCAACTGCTAGCTCCAAGAAGGGTTTCGCCCAGTGGCCGTTGGGCACCCCGAAGTAGCCCATGAGCCCCAGAGTGGACCCAATGGTCAGGCCCACGATGAGCACCGCCACCATGGACAGCACCACGCCGCTGTGCACGGCGTCCAGCTTGCCGATCATGATCTCAGATGCGACGTTTTGATATATATATATATATATGTATCTATATATATATATATAAAACTCAAGCCTTTGAGTTGTCCAGGCTCTCCGACTCCCAACATAAATCGGGCGATCACGAATGGAACAGCCCAGAAAGTCAACACCTCGACCGACGTTTAGAGCTACGGCTCCAGCAGTAGTCAATTGACTTGAGTGTCATAGGCTCCCCGAACAGATAGGCCCCACCAAACTGTTCACTCTCTCTTTTGATGGTACCCTGTTCTGTTTGGGTTGGGGGGGCGGGGGAGAAAGGGACGCCAAAAGGAAAAACATCATCTTGTAAGTCCCCTAAACAAAAACATATTCTGGATAGGGGTCGCATGTCGCATGCAAGATGTTAGTTCACAGTCGGAAGTGCTTCCTTCCCATGGACAGACATTTTTGGCTGAACAAGCGATTGCCGCCAGGGGGCAGCGCAGTAGACCTCGGCAACTCCAAATGACATGCGAAGATCCTAGTGTGAAAGAGGCTTTTTCAACCATCGAGTATCACAGCCCGGGCACTCTTGAAACCTAATCATGCATGTTCCACAATCATTTTAAGTCTTACTGGGCGAACACACCCAAGCTTGCCAGTAGCAAGGATAGGTAGCCATCTTGAAATCCAAGGAAGAACTGCATTATGACGATAAGAGGGGAAGGGAATTCTTGACACCAAATAGATCAAGACAAGCAACAATGATCACGAAATAGGAAGAGGAGAGCTTGGCGATATCGCCGCGGATGGCGTTGCCAAACTCGTCGCCGAGAGATCGTTGGAACAGGCCTTAGCTGTGGCACAGCCCCTACCACGCAAGTCTAAGACTTTGCAAGAGCATTTCTTCATAGAATGCAGTCTGGTCAAGGCCTGATCTGGTCCAGGGGTTGCCCTTGACGACCTCTGAGAAGCCCAATTGCAACACTTGATTTGATTTCTTCTCGCTTGGACAAAAATCGAAGCGGAGGACAGCCAGCTTGCAAACTGATGCTTACCACAGCCATTAAAAAAAACTCTTTGAGCCCCTGGTCGGGGCTAGGGATGGGAATTGCAAAAAAAGTTCCATGTCTTTTGGCCGGACCATCGGCGCGCAGTATTCAGACCAAAGCAACCGCTGAACTTCAGCAGGTCATCCTCCTTGCAATCCAGCTTGGGCTCGGCTCGGGAGTCGGCGTCGATGCCCATACTGAGTTCGGGCTCGAGCAGCATTGGCGGATGGTTTTGATTGGAAGAAAATCGGACCTGTGATAGCAAGCATTGATGAACAAACAAAGGATAGCCTACGCAAGCACAAGGTCTGTGAATGCATGCATGTATTCACCAGGTTTCTCCAGTTGGATCACAATGTGGCAAGAATGCATGTCTGACCATCACAGGCGACATCGAGGTTGCCGTATGGAACATTGCAAACCTTGAGCACACCTGCAGCATCAAAACAATAAGTGCGAACAAGCGCGATGATGCAACAAGGTTTTGTCTTTGAAAGTCTAAATCAAATTCATTAGCTGGCGCAAAGCCACCAAAGAGACTGCGGGTAGTGGCCCGTGTGCTGCTAGGTCACATGCACAAGGCGCGACGCTCCCACTCGTCTGCCACTGGGTCTGTGCGGCCCTCGATGGGGCAATACAGCTCCTGAGGCACCGGGATGTTGGCTCAGTTAACAGAAAAGGGTGCGGGAAGCTTATTGCAACTTGCAAGCACATCTGAGCCAATGGGATTGGCTGCAACCGAACAATCAAAGGACAAATCCTTGTGATCGACATGGCTGCAAGCAAAAGCTGTGACCAAATGCTTAGGACCAGCCTGTGGTTGGTAAGGGCAATTGGGCCTCCCGCGGGCTGGCTGGAAACGAATCCGAATCCTCGCGGACAGAACACTATTGTCATCAACAAAGCACCAGACATATCTGGATTGTTGACTTGCAATCGGCGTTCATGCATTGTCCAAGTGGCGCATTGCAAATTCGGGCCGTACCATTCTGGATTTGCCTGGGAGTACTGGGACTATTGGCTTGTCTTACAGGAATCTCTCGGTTCGGGTGCCAATTCGGCAAGGCTCGTTCTTGTTCAATGCGAAGAAGCCGGCGATGTGCTTGCCGCCTGCGTATTTCCAGTTGGTGTCAGCCACCTCAGCTGAAGGGACTGACCAAGCGAAACAGAAAACCGCCTGGCTCCTTGCAAACTCCCGTACCCAAAAGAAGAAAGAAACCTGAGTGACTGATTCTGTCATTCGAATTCAAAACCTGTTATTGAGGTGGGAGCAGGGTGAAGTGGGGTGTCCCAGCGGAGAGGGGTTGGTGGATGGTTGCAATGCAAAGCCAACCATCAAATATTGGACAAGCATGTCACAGAACAGCTGTGCTTGATCAGCATGGGGACGCAAACCCACCTCAAGAGCGATGATTTGATGTGCAACCCAAGGAGCCCATAGCCATGCCAAGTCTTGAAACGCATGGACAAAGTTAACCAGGCTTGGTTCAACATGATTCACTCCAACCGGGGGGACAGGGGACTGTGGATAGGATCGGTTTTGCAGCCTCAACATCGCGAGTACAGGCACGGCGCGTCTCACGCATTTCGGGGGGCTCAGCCAAACGCACCTACACCCACGGGCACGGGTTTGCTCCAGTGCGAGAGAGACAGAGAGAGAGAGGGAGAGAATACTGGCCCCAAATTGGCACCAAAGCACTGCGCTGGCTCCAAACTAAGTTTGCTTTTCGTTGCACCAGCAAGACTGACACGATAATGGTTGACTCGGCCCACTCAAGCCATGTTGGCGTTGAGCTGCCAAGAGGTGGATGCTCGCTGGTTCAAGTCCACAACCTCGCCGTCTCCCGCACAACTCTGCACACGTAATCAGAAACTGGTACTCCAAATATGCCAAGTCTCCAATCCTCCCACCATGGTCCTGATCTTGGTCGGCTGGAACTCGAAGGCGCTATCAGGCGCCTGTCCTGGGTCCTTAGGACATCTTACATCTGAATCCAAGGCCCCTTTGCAGGCGACAAGATCAAGGGAGCGACTTGCACGCGTGTTGCTCTCAGAAAGGAGCTGTCGCCAAATCCCCAGCATTGATTTTGACCGGTGCCAGTTCAACATCCCCCGCATCGCCGGTGACTGGTCGTCCGAAAGCACCCCTTCTCGCCCGTGACTGGTTGCCGAAATCCGGCTGAAGAAAATCACACTTACATGATGCAACTTGTTGGAAAAACGGAGCCGTTGCTTTAATGGTGGCAACTAAAGTCCAGGAACACTTCTTTTCGGACCCTGCTAGATAAATGGCTCCAATGCTCTAATTGTGCGATCCAAATGCCCGTGACCCTTGATCACGTGTGGACACCGCGTCTTGAGGGGTTTTGCACCTTCCCTTGCTGTAGTGGGGGTCAGTGTTGCCCTGCACAAATCCACAAGCGCCTCGGGCAAGCGCCTCGGGCACGCGCCAGCGTTAACATTTCAAGCATGGTCAAGCTGCCGATCTCGAGCTGACCCATACAAGCTCTCTTGCCGTATCTTGCCGTGCCGCGGTGTTGAGCTGGCCACCGGGAGCTGACGTTGACGTGGTGCTGATGGAGCCCAGGTTGCCCAGTTGGATGCAGCCACGGTCCTCCCGCGGCTCCCGGATCACTAGACTTGAGAAATGCAAAGCTCTGCAACACAAGCCACATGGGATCCACTCTAGGTTCTCCAGTAGAGAGGTTGGAATAAGGGTACCCTTTTTTTCTGTAGTCTATTTTGGTAGGGGAACCCTCCACAAAAGGGTAAAAGGGCACTGGGGGACCTAGCAGTGATCTCCTCGCAGGTCGCCAAGTTCACCGGAATGGTCACTTCCTCGCCGTTCACCATTATCGTGTTGGTGGGGCACCTAGGAATCCAAAAAGAGCGCGCATAAGCTCTTCTAGAGGAGGAGCCTTGCTCTGAAATCACGTGAAGCCCGAAACGGATCTGATCCAAGTCGCTTCTGGTTGCAGTACTGCGTAGCTTCCACGCGGCAAGCATACCTCTCATCAGGCGTGTTGTAGGCTTGGCAGGTGCCTCAGTGCGATCTCAGCTCACCCCATCTCCGGGATTATCAATTTGGCCGACTGCGCACATGTTTGCTGCTCAAACAAATCATGCTCAGAAGCAGGCTGCTATGAAGAAGCTCAACGTCGGGAGTTGGTCACTAGCAGAAATCGTGATTGCACTCTGCAACATACTGGATATATGCGTGACACAAAGCCAAGCAGCTGTTGTAGCAGGGAGAGTTAGCGGTGGCCAAGGTCAAAGGGCAGAATGTTTCTTGGTCCTGCAAGAGCAAATTTGCTTGGCCGGGCAACCGTTGCAAAAGACAAGGTCACGCGAGGGGTCCGAATCCCCTTGTCGGTGCAGGCCTACTACGAATGCAGCACAGAGATGCAGAAAATGTACTCATTGTGATTCACTGCGTTGGCCTCCATTGTTGTTGGGCTACTGGGCTATAATGCGAGAATGAGCAAGCATGGGCACCACCAATTCAGACGTCAGTCAACAGCGAGTATTGGTTAGACCTTTGAACAACGCCGTCCAACACCGCCCTGCGAGGTTTATATCATTTAGCGGTCATACAGACTTTTTATTACAGGACGTCACCTCACTCTGTTTGGTCAGCGTGCCAGGCACTAGGTATGGCATAGGTGGCATTGAGCCAAAAAAAATCACTTTCAAGGATGATGCGCCTCCCAGTTGTTAAGTGCGAGCTTGATCTGGTTGTCGTCCAGGTTTTGGATGACGTAATCATCCCCCCTGAACCTCGGTTGTGGAGAGCTGGCAAATCGTCGACGCTGGCAGCCGACTATCAACTAAAGGTCATCAAGGGGGAATATGTAGAAACGCATTGTAGAATGCTGAAGAACTGCAGGTCGGCATATGCCGCAACCCTCACGCCAGCCCCAATTCCCCCCAAGAAATCACCGCCCGGCCAGTGCAATCAAGCACAAAGCAAACGTAGCTGTTGACCCAGCATGTTGTAAGTCACCATGGGGTGGCCACAGGAGAAACGACTTGATATACCTTGCCAGTTCGGAGGTGTGGGCAGGCATTGTCATGCACTCCTAAAGCTACGGTCTTAAACGAAGGAAGCGAGCAAGGACGGAGGGAGGGAAGGAAGATATGCGCATGCTCTTTGACAACTTTCTAAACCCTGTGTCCTCTTCTCCACTCGGAATGACATTCACAAAGGGTCCAGTCTGTGATCCCAATCGACAGCAAAGAGGGTGCACCACGTTGTTCTCCAGCAGTTATTCTTGGTGTCTTTTCTGAGGGAACCCTGCTTTGGGTGCTTTAACAGGGACATCGGAAATTAACGGGAAACCACCAAAGAATGGGGGTCCTCTACTCCGTGACACAGATGCTGAGCATTGACCTAAAGCAAGGAGCACATCCAGAACCGAAGACCTGCCGCAGAAAGGACCGAAGGCGTAGCACTTGCGGCCGTTAAAGACCACACTGCCGTTGACCTGCGAGAGAAGTCAGAGAAGCAAAAGCTGGTTTAATATCCTTCCGCTTACTGGGTGATTTCCGGTCTCCGTAACATTGGTCGCCGCTTGAAGCTTGAACCGTTGCCTCATCCATGAGCCCAGCCTATTCCTGCCAGAGCTTCAACAATATCCCCGTTCGGCATTGACCATGTTGGGAGATCAACAGAAACTCCTTTATTGCTTCCGCTCTCCACAAACTGCCACCTTTGCGCCAAGGCACGCTTGTCGGTTCACCGCTGAAACCTGGTGCGTTGGCGACTGAGGTTGAAGTATCTAACTGGGAATCGAAAAAAATGTGTCTGCTCCGCGCTGAGCTGTTCTGACGAAACCGGCAAGAAATGACAGCCAATCAAACTACCCAAACAATATTACTTGTTTTGCCCAGAGGACACGGCTTATGTGGGTCGTCCATCTGGCATTTGTGGGACATTTGGGTGATCCCCCCATGACTAGATTTAGATGTCGGGTAAACCTTGAATGGTAAAAACTTGTTCTGCCCAAGTTAGTATGCCACGCGGGAAACACAAGGGTCCTGCATTCGAACGTTAGTGTCCTCAACAAACGCAAACGGTCCGTGCATGAGTTGTCCCTTGAAACACAAACTGTATAAAGGAAGCTGTTAGTTTGGATTGAATCTAGCAACCGTAAACAAAAACTGCTTGGGAGAACGTTTATTTGTCACCGGAAATACTAAGATATGTCTTTCGCTCCCAGCAACTTTTTGCTTTGGGATTGAAAGGCACTCGCCCCTGCAAGAGTTAGCTTCCTGTTCAGAACTAACTCCCTGGATGCCACGTGTCAAACGAACTTATAACGTGCAAACAACAAACAAAGCTCTATACAAAAAAACTTTGTATTTGTTGCAAACTCGCAAGGGCGAGTTTGTTTCGAGCTTCTTGCGGAAACAAAGTAGGCACGCAAGTGCCCTTTAGCAAGATACCACTGGAGTTCCAGGCAACGCAAAAACACAGTTTGCTGGTGCAAACAAACATGTGCTCGTTCCATCCAAGGTCTTAGGTAGAAAGCATGGCCGAAGCAACTCTCTTCGCGGAGTGCAAGATATGTTTCTTGCAGGGCTCCAGTCCGCAACTCAAACTCAACAGCGGGCATTTGTTCTGCAGTGGCACTTCACAGCTTGAACAAAAGTCAGACGATCAACCCACAGCAGCAACTCATTCGTGCAAACCTTATGTGTTCATTGACAAGGGGCTCCAGGATCCAGAGTAGATGGTCCATGGCCGGTTGTCGCCTGCCGAGCGCTTGTGATCCTCGTCCAGCTTCTGCACCAACGTCGTTCCGTCGATGGTAATGTTCATGATCTGCCTCAAAAACGTGCGCCTCTCGGTCAGTTTGGTCGTCTGCACAGTCGTAAACGAAAAATACGTTCCATCAGAATGGCTTGCAGTCTCCCCTTTGGGTGTTTTCTTGAAGTCTGCGCCAACTCGGATCAACGCACCGATGATTACCGCTGCTGTCTTGGGGCCACATTCTGTTGAACAAGTGTGTCTGCCTGTCATGTGCAAATTTGCACACGCACTGCAAATGTGCTTGTCTCTCAAGCCATCCGAAAGTGGGTTGTTCAAATGTCTTGTCATCCTGCTTCAGCATGATCCTCGGGTGGTCTTGCGGATACTTTTAGAGCCTCTTAGCCATTCTGATAGACGTTGAGCGTGTGGCAGCCCCCGAGCGAACTGCACACGGATGTGGAGCCGGCCGAAGCCGACCCCGCCGCCCGTTCAGGGCCGAACAACCATGGAAACATGGAGCCGGCCGCTAACCACCAACCAGCCAAGACACACACGTACACACGCGTACACACACAAAAGCAAGGGTGTCCTGAATACCATCCCAGAATGGCCACACAACCTACACCAGGGCCCAAGCTCGTTCAGCATGTGGAAGCGCTGGAGGTACTTGGGGTCCAGGATGTTGCCTCAGTTGCTCGAAGGGCTGCCTGCATTGCTTCATGTGCTCAACTGGCACAGTTCTGTTGCTCTCTCTCTCGCTCCAGCTCCGGTTTTCGTGGTTCAGGGCATCCAAGGTAAGAGTGCTGGCGTGAAAGGTCTCTCTCACGGGCCGGAAAGGCTCACAGAACCTGGCCATGAGCTCTCAACTGAGCCCAGGTAACATGATGGATGTTTAGAATGAAATGCACAGTGCAAGGCAAGGCTGAGTTCCGCAGTCAGAATTGGCAGCCTGGCTACAACTTCTCCTCGAGGGTAAACATCGAGTCAGAGGTGAAGTGTCTCTCTTGTAAGCGACTAGCAGCCGAATCTCTAAGGCGCAGATTGGACATCTTTTGAAATCAGGTCGGTTCAGTGATGTACTGAGATTCATTGTGGTATTTTGTGTGCATGTACCGACGCATGATATCTTACATATTACCCAACTGGCTCTATGATCACGTCGCTACGAGTACCACGCACAAAGCAAGCCAAACTGTGTGTCTATATCAGCTTGGCATCATGTGGCCACAGGTCAAAACCCCGTACCCCCAGTGAACATCCCAATCCCACTAAAATAGGTTCTAAAATGGGTGGTGCACCTATCCCAAAATGGCACCATTGGTTTTGACCCACAGCCATGTGTGTGTGTGTGTCTTCGTGTGCGCGTGTGCAAGAATGCATCTCTCCTCTGCAATGCGAAGCCAAGCTATCGACAAGGCCAAGGCACAGGATGCCTCGTCCACGTCAGCACAGGTCGCCGAGAAGAAGTTGAAGCGGGCGTTGCCCGGCCAGGTCGCCTTCACCTCGGCCACTGGACACTAATGACACGTGAGAGATTAGATCATGCTATATTGTGGTATATAATAAATTGTATTATTGCTTCATTTGTGGGCTCTCGATTTGCAAGGAGCACCTAGTATCTTCAAAGCCTTCAGCCAATGCTGGAATCAGTGCCGTGCCATTGCTCTTGCTGAATGTACCTCCAGTAACGTTTTGACAGTTATTCTTAGTGACGGAACTTACCCCTTTGCCAAAGAAGCAAACCAGGCCGGCTTTTGTCAGCTCATGCACACCTAGAAGTACTATAGTTCGGTCCATCATGAGCACTGCTGGCTCCAAACAAACACCAATGCTGGCAACACTGGACCACGGGTGTGTCAACGTCTGGAAGGACCTCACCTTGAAGCCGTACTGGCAATAGTCTCTGGCAATCCTACCATCCTCAAACTGTACCACCATGGCACTGGCTATTGCCCCAACAAGTGGCACCGCTTGGCCATTCACAAACCTAACACGAACTACAAAGAACTGTCAAGGCCAAAACCATGCCTGTCAAGTTTCAATAGCCAACCGCACCATACTTGCGCATGTGTGCGCGTAATATGAATGTATTATTGTATGAACATGTGAAACGATGAATGCCAAATTGGGCAACATACGTGTGCACGAGTGTGTGTGTGTGTGTGCGCGCGCGCGCCACGCAACGTAACATTCAAATCTCATCACAATATGCAGGCTGCTCATGTGCCTTTGTTCTGACCCTACGGTTCGATGAGCAAAAACATCTACTCGAACAATTCAGCGCTGAGTTTTGCGCTATTGACAAAATGTAAAGAGCATACATCATCTTCATTCAAGCATAGAATACACTAAGTCATAGTCGGACCAGCAACGAGCTTCAACGGAGTTGAGTTGAAAGGGTTCAAGACGAGTTGGTCTCAGCTTGCCAAACGAAATAAAACCAAAGCACAGGGAGGTTGCTCATAATGCAGCCAAACACAATGGCCACGTGCAACAACCTTCATGACACAATCTGCTTGCTGATCCGATGATCGAAGGCATTATGGAGACTGAAACCAAAACAATAGAGCAAGTTTTCTAGGTTCAGCTCATGCGGCCGCCCACTTGCCCCCCCTTTTTCACAGTCTTGCCGTAGGAACATACTCGTCGTGGTCCAAGGCGAGGGACCCTGCGCGCTGCAATTTCGACAAACTGATTCTTAGCAGGCAATCTGATTCTTTGGCTCAGACCAAGCCCTGCTTTAGCTTGCAAACTGCAAATCAAATGACGGTGGCATCTGCCCTGTTGATGGCTTTGAAGTACAATTGAGTTGATGGCGCCCAATGACGTTCGAAGCTCCACCTGATATTTCAATGGAATCACATGTCACCCTTTTCTGGCAATCAAACCCAGTGCGTCCGTCTTTCCGCGACAAGCGAATTTCGAAATCGACCGGTCTCCTACTGGCACCCACTGCTTCTCCGGGCGTGTCTCGCTTTCCAGGAAGGCAAAGCCGCCGCAGCAAGCGACGGTGAAGATGATGCTCCCGATCAAGCTCTTTACCTCACAGCTCCAGTGCTTGCGCGCCCGACCGTTTGGGTCGGGGTTGATGCACGAGTGACAGCCATCCAGCGTTTACAATGATTGCTAGCAGCCAGTCTGCGCAATTACAAGGTCATCCGAAACTGGCGACAATAGCATACTTGATTACTACTAGCCTCACCCCGGCAAAGGTGAGAACTTACAAGGCGCACCAACGTGCATTGACATGCGCTCATGTAACTCGAGCATGTGCAAAAAACCTCTGATGCTCAGGCAAGGCTGCATGCAGCAGCAAACCATGGTTGACATCAAAAAGGCCTTGCAGCATGGTCCAAGCACTCTGCCTCCAGCTCAACAAGATCGTCGGAGCAACACACTGAATAAAATCAGTGACGGGCTTCTTCCGTAACTGTACTCCTCAACCAGTATACGCACGAGCTGTACACGCTCCGTCTGCAAAGAACAGGACTTGCTTGTGGCAGGAACAAAAGTACGCGAGAAGCAAATGCAAGACACTGGCAGCTGTGGAGGATGGTGCGCCATTGACAGGCTGTCTTGCTGCATTTCTGAGGCAGGAAGTGATTCGAGTGGACTCGCACAGGCCATTGAAATTGCATTTTTGAGGAAACGGGGGCTGCCTCGGCCAAGCAAGCAGGCCCCGGGCTATGCTGTAATCATTTTCCAACACAAACAAATTGACCCCCCATGACGATTTAAGCGGGCTGCGCGTTTTCAAACCAACCCAAATTTATGTGTGAAACTAGGATTCACGTTCAAATTCTGTATACTCCAACTTAGGCCTCAGCAGTACAGCCACCCTCGCATCCCGTGTCTAAGCGTAGCTTAGAACCTTCGAAAAAGAAAAAACAAAAAAACGACTCGCCTGGGAAACAAAACGACACGTGGCATGGCCGAGCCGCGGGATGTCCGCCCACTTTGCGGCCCACGGCCTCGAAGAAGGCCTCCAAACAGCCCTCGACACCACCTGAGACGCGCCCAGCGCCCGCCCATGCGCGGGGAAGTTGCGTGCGAGCCCTTCGTATGCAAAGGGCCTGCGACACACCTTTGGCGCGCCAGCGCTGGGGGGCAATGTGATTGGACTGGGTGCTCTGGTTTTTTCAACAGGCAACATGCACTAAGCTCATGTTGCCCGGCCTCGCCCGAAACTGAAAGAAAATATCGTGAGCAACCAGCAAAAACGGCCTGTCAAATTGAGTAAAAGCGGGGGCCACTATGGCCTGACCCCGACATGCACATCACCTTAACCGCACTGGCAATAAATGCCCCTGGGAGTCATTCCTTGATCTCTTCTGGGCGAAGTTTTAGCTTTCCACGAGCCTGGGCCAACTCAGAGTGAGCTTCAAGGAATCTCTGGCCTTGCAAAAAGCAACTGGCTACATTTGCCAAATGGCAATGGAACAATTCGAGTGTTGTCCCCGCATGCCAACTCAATGGCTGGAAAAAGAGTGGAGGTGTAATTCGGGTCGCATTTGAAGGGCGGCCACTTAGCCAGCAAGCCCCTTCGCCACTCAGCCAGCTGAGTGGCTAAGTCGTTAACTGTCCAAGTTGCAAAACAATTCTAAGTGGCCAAGTGGCTAGGTGACTAAGTAGCCGAAGAATGCTAAGGGGCTAAGCGGCCAAGTGGATAAGTAGTCGAATATTTCTAAGTGGCTGCGCAGCCAGGTAGACAAGTAGTCTGACATGTCTCAGCACAAACAAGACAAGCGCAAGGGAAGTAGCATACCTAGACGCAAGAGTATAGGTATTTGCGGACGACTGGCTTGGTTCAAGGCAAGTCTGTGGGAGTAGCAAGTTGTTTGATTGCTTGCTTGCTGTAAGCTCTATTGACAGGGTATGTTACTTGCAAACGGAGGAGGTTAGTTACTGAAGAACCGGGGAGTTGCTTGCGGGGGTTGGGAGGGCGTTTCTCACAAAGTATGTAACTTACGAAAAAGGGAGGTTAGGCACTCACAAGCAAAGGGCCTGTTTACTCACGGACGGAAGGTTCCGTACTTACTCCCGGGGGGTTAGATACTCACGCACACTGTGTATGTTACAGAAGGACGATTGGCTTGCTTAAACGCCAAGGGCGACGGGGTGGAAAGATAGTTGGCTGCTTGCTTGCTTTTGCTTGTGCTTGTGCTTGTGCTTTTGCTTTTGCTTGCTTGCTTACTTACTTGCTTGCTTGCTTTTGCTTGCTTGTACTTGCTTTTACTTGCTTTTACTTGCTTTTACTTGCTCTCTTACTTGCTGGTCGTCTCTAAGTAACATGCTCTTCCATATAGGTATGCTGAGTAGCTTACCCCTGAGATGTGTCGGACCACTTACCATCTTGGTCGCTTAGCCAAGAAGAAACCTTGGCCTGCGTAGCCAGTTACCCATGTAGAACTGCTGTTGCTTTAGCCACTTCGCCAGCCACACTTGGCCCCTCAGCTACTTGCCACTTGGCCTCTCAGTCAGTTAGTGGCTTCCTTTCAGTTCCGTCTGCGCACGTCCAAGGTAAAAGCCAAGCACGGGCCAAACACCACTTTCATTAAGATGCTTATCAAGGTACGAGTGACTAGCTTGTCTGGAGCGAGCGCAAGGTTCCCAACCTTTGTGCTTTAAAGGGCGTTACACTCTGGATAGCATAAAATGCCAGCCATGGCGTATATATATATATATATATATATGTGTTCCTCAATGACAACAAGGCTGCCTGTCCTCACAGCCTTCGGGTGCTTCAAAGCATAGGAAACGAAGCAAAATGCGTGCCCGAAGAGATCAAACGGTACATGCTGGTTAAAGAATATGCTTGGGCGCGTCTGGATTTGCCAAAGCCCATTCTCTCCCTTTCTGTCAGATCCCATGCTCATTGTTGCCGTCGAGCCACCCATGTCGCCAGAGAAAGTTGCCGGAGAGAGTTGCCGGAGAGAAAAACTGTCCTATCTGAGCCAAGAAAACAATGCAAGACAATGCAGAAGTCTAAAATCCCACACAAAATGCACCTTTGTCTTCCGCAACATGCAGCCTTGCCCAGCTAGGCAGGATCAAAATGATCAAAATCAGATTTAAGCCTCAAGAAAGTGATGCTGGCACGAACTGCTAGCAGCTTCGGCGACTCGACAGGATGTGGTGGAATTCTACAACTGGTGCATGGGTCATGTGGGTTGTCATTTTCTTATAGGTTGAATGCAAGAAGCGAGCATATCATACAAGCTGCGAGCCACTTTAGTGGACCCTTGGCCTGAAACTGCTTGGGCAAAGGTTGGCATACCATTCATGCAAAAGAGAGCCCCTTATCGTTCGGGAGAACTGTATGGCTTTTGAGCAGATCAACTTAGGCTTGTCGATGTAGACCCGGATAAACGCACCCCCAAACGCCGTGAAGTACTACGCTTAGGGTGGAGCTCGCTTGGTTTTGCAAAGTCGGAACTTGTTCACTGGCAAACCAGTAAACTGGGTGTGTCAAGAAAATCCGAAAGGCAAGGGCATGGAACGTATTGTCTTGTTGGATGGAGATGAAATATCGAACATGAGTTGACGCCTCGTTTGGTTTGGGCTGCAGGGCGAAAGCGGCTATACATGGCTATACCCAAGACCATCCGGCAAGGACAGCAAAAGATTCTGGTTGGAAGCAAACGTCTGCACCGAAAATGCGCAAGGCAACCTCCTGCGGAAATAGGGCTGCAGTGAAAGGCGAGCGTTGCGGGCTCAGGAGTGCTATGAACAAGGTAGTACAAGAACGCACCTTGGGCAGTAGCACAAGCAATTCTAGGAGTGGTTAGCCAAATGCCGCCATTGACATCATACCAAGCCTTGCCTCAGACAATGGCATTGGAGAAAGGGAACCAAACCGCCAAAAAACCCGAAGCCAAGCTTGAGTGTCCGCCACTTTGTCCGATCCTTGCCACATGCTTGGGGTCTGTCGTACATCGCGCAAGATGTTGACTTACGAAAAGTCAAGGGGCGTGGCTCGCGCGGCTTGGCCGCGGGCGAAAACCGGATAAAACTGCGATGGTCCACTTGGTGGAGCCAAAGAAAAGCTGGCGGGGAACCCGCCGGTTGCCTCTCTGCACCCTATGCAAAGCGCAAGCGAGATTCTTGTCGACACAGCTTGGAGAAATGAAAACAGATCGCGGAATGCGCAATGAACAGCGTGCCAAGCAATATGGTTTGACCCAAACACATTATCCACACACATCGCTTGGATATCACATACAGGAAACAAGCCAGCACATGTCAAGATGTTGGAAAGCCTGCTTCCTGCTCATACCTTTCTATGAATGCAGTCAACAAAGGCTTGTACGTTGCAGGTGTGGATCGGCAACCAAGAGAGCGCACATGGGCCAATGCCGAACGAAGTTTGGCATCCACAGCTGCTTTGCGCTGTGCGAGGAGTCAGAGACGGGCAGGCACATGAACACGGGAAGATACTGCTTGTTCCCCAAAAAGGTGCGGGAAAGTTGGGTCGGCCCCCTGGTTTTTGTGGGACGTTGGGCCCCTCACGTCATCCCGAAAGCAGCAGTAGACGACCCACCCATGCTTTTGCAGCTATTAGCTCACATCTGCAGCTGCTACTTGCTTGTTTGCCCTGAACGATCCAGCATTCCGAAATGTGTTTGTTTTGTATGAATATACTTTCGAGCCCGATTTGATGGAAATCCGAATCTCATCTCGGGACTTACAGATCGTAAAACCGCCCACTTTATAAGCACGGGAAGCGCGGGCATCCTAAGAAAGAAGTTACCCATGCAACCATGCTGGCTCGTCTCGGCTGCTAATCTTCCGAACGTTTCGCTGCATCAAGACTAGTGCTACAGCCTGCTCCGTCTTGGCCCCTTCCAGACCCTTTCTCGGCGACTCAAGGAAAAATCAAGCGTACTGGCCACTGGTTACAGGTCGGCGCACAGGTTGCCGACAAACAGATAAAGGATAAGTGGCCAACACAACAGAAGAAAGCTGCTCTGGGTCTATAGCATCGTGGGCCAAACACCCAAACGACACCCAAGAGTAGCCAAAGGGGCTTTGTTCAATCACCCCAGCCCCAAGCAGAGCAAAAAGTTCTGGCGCTTGCCGCTTTCCTCATACCAATAAATTGGCAAATCAGGCCTCCTCATTCGCCGGAATGGTGCGAGATGCCTGGAGCTGAATTGCCCCCTGCGCCCCCAGAGAGCTCTGACGCCGCCCTACTGAACGGAAAACCGATCTGCCCACGTGACCTTTCGACGGCGACCGCACACATAACAAATACGCTTGCTGGAAAGCGTGCAGAAGGTCTTCATTTCAGTCTGGAGTCACACAATAGTACAAAAGAGCAGGTTCAACGGACCAGCCATTGGCGCAACAGGCGACCAATGCAATTAGTGGAAGTGAAGGCGCCGGGCCGATCAGACCAAGGGGGACATGCCGAAAGCAGCATGCGGATTGTAAGGTCAAACTCCACGAATCAGCACCGACGGCTGACATTGTGCTGCACAAAGCATGGTGCAGCAAAGGGAAAGCAAAAAAGGTAGATGTACTTAAGCAGCGAAAGAAGTAAGTAGCTGTCACCGCAATCATTCGGCTGATCACTGGAAAGAGATATTATTTCTCCGTTGTCCATGTGACACAGGGCAATGTAAGAGCACGATTAGCCCCCCCGCAAATGAAAGGCTTCCCCGTTTGCATCCCCAAATCCCAGCGAAGGCAACAAGGTTTGCCCAACAAAACCCTACCCAATCATTTGTTGGGCCTCTCCAAACCTTCTCCAATTGAAGGTACCCCCCTGCACCCCCCAAGCTGACAAGGGCTTCAAGCTCACAAAGGGAACCCCGCTTGGAGGCCAGCCCCGCTCATGAACAGAAACCCCCACGAATCGTGACGAAGACCAAACGGGGCTCCAGATTGATTGCTGGGATCCTTCGGAAAAACACTGGCAGTCGATACTTCAATATGCTTGCTGCGGCGCATGCCCCATGGGATGTTTCTTATGCATATTGAGAACAGAACATAATGGATGTCTCTGGTTCAGACTCAAAGACTACTTGCCAGCAACCGCAACATACATTGACATCACCTCAGGGCCACGGTCATATGCATTGACTGGCAAGTTGCCCCCCCCCACCAGCTTGTATCTCCTGGAAAGAAATACGACATAATTAAGGCTGATAATTAAGGCCAATGCTCAGCCAAGGCGTAGTAACTGCAGTGGCTGTTGTCGACAAGAGCTGCTTATGGTGTTGCAACAAGAAAGCCAACAAAGCTTCCTGCGCAAGACCGCTTCAAATAGTATAGATGCATCTGGCCCCGAATCCGCTGGTGTCGAGGCCCACAATGCAGGGATTGCCTGGGTAAGTTCACCTAAAGATGTTTACATCATACTAGCAAATGGGTGTTTCTTTCAAGAGGGAAGCCCTGCCCGGTGTTTGTCGAGTTTTCCGAACCGGCCAACAGGGGTGTCCATGTCACCCTGTGCAAATCCGCGCGAACAATCTCCAGGCCTTCTCCGAGTAATCAGACCTCGAAAAGCACACACATCGCAAGTTGTTTAGACGGGGCTCGTTGCTTCTTTGCGACACACTTTGTCAAAGGCTTTAACTAGCAAGAAAAACAGACAAGACACTGGTGAGCTGAGCCGACATGATGCTGCATTACAAGTCAGGTGAAATCATGCAGGGGGCTAAACCGGCTAAACCTGAAAACATCGACTCTTGGTACTTGCGCGTCTGAAGTCGCACGAGCGCTTTCCAAGGCGCTCCGGAGCTGCCTTGGAGCCTCCCACAAGGGACAGGATGGTGGGCAGGAGCCACAAGCCGTGTGCACCCGCAATGGTCACCACCAGGAAAAGCACCTCCGCGAAGCAGAGAACCATCAAAAACTTTGGGTGTCCTTTGGTTCACGGGAAACTCTCTTCCGGCCCCGGCTCCCGCGTTAAGTTCGTGTTTATTTTACCTGTTCAGTTGACATTGCAGGACAGGACACGAGAAACAGTTGACTGTGTTGCCCAGCCCTACTTGGGTCGGGTCAAGCTTAACTTCTACATCATGTCCCCGTTCACACGCAGCACTCCCAGCTTTTGCCAAGGCTGCACAATCCACGCAGTAATGCCATTAGATACGCGGTTGCAATTTGATTTGTTTATTAGCAAAGCAGAGTTTGGAACAACTACGCCGCTTCTTTCGCTTGACGTCAAAGTGGCTGCCTGAAGCACTTCTATGAAACCTCCCTCCGCACTTTCTTTTTGCCTTGAAGAAAATCCTGAAGACGTAGCTCTCGGACAAGCCAACGACAACGACCTCAGCAAGGCTCAAGAGGAAAGCGAGGTGATTTGATGCCTCAAACATGGACAAACATCCCCGTTGGGTAAAAAGGTCCATGGGGAGCCATTCGGCCTGCCCTCCCCGACATAACTAGGAACTCCAATGTAGGCATTCATACAATCGATAGGTCCGAATATCATGCGGAAGCACACACACACACACATGCTTTTGCAGCCTTCCGCTGCACACGTTGCCGCTGGATTTGGAAAGATTGTGTCCGTCAAATATGTTATTTACCGATCTTCTTTCCAATTGAATTGCATTAGAAACCACCAACTCCAAAGCACCAATCCAAGCAACCAAATAAAGAAACTGATATGTGGCTTACTCGGGGGTCATGGTAAGATCATTGCAGGTCGTTTTTTGCAACAAAGGCAGAACCCCTCCTTCAACGAGCTTTACCTTCAGTGACCTTCCTCAGCTGCAGCTTGTTTTATCATTTTTTACAACTCTCTTCATTTCTACTTGAGCGCCAAGCAAACACCACTCAACATGCCCAGCCGGCATGTTTCCAAATTCGCTGGAGAGATCTGATGGCACTCGCCAAGATGCGGCAAGCAGGGTGGAGACCACGGCGTTGAAGGTGCACGGTCCAATGCGCTCCATGGATGCGATGGCGCGCTCGCGCGCGGTGCCAGTGGACTCCTGAAATATTTTTTCCAGGCGCGGCAACACCCGAAGGCAGCACCGTTGGCAGGCAACATGGCAGTAAATCACTACTTGGAAACCGCCATTCCATAAGTGGCAGTGAAGTTCGGACGGGCGTGCTCTACAACACTCTCATCCAGCAATATGACTGACAGGCAGCAAGAAACCTGATTATGGAACCTGGCAATGTGGTTCTGAGTTGAATTTTCAAAGGAACAGTCAATGGAGAGATTCAATGCCGCAAGTTTCAAGCCGCTCGAAAGCAAGGCGGCTGCCAGCCCAGAAGCCCCTTCAGTGCTCCTTGAACATGTGGGCAATGTGCGCTGCGTAGTCCACCGCCAGACCCACGCAAATCAGCACATAAATCCTCGGGCTTCCGAGCCGTTGAATTCCCTGAACAATGGAGGCTTTATTTACTCATCTGTGGACTCCACCCAGGGCTAGGGGCTTGTAATTTAAAAAGGGGGGTTCCTCCCCCGGATGAATTTGATTAAAAAAGGAGACTTGAAGAAACGAAGCGTCTTTGTTGAAGGAGGGGGGGCTGTTGATTGAAGAGAAGGTGGTCTTTTAGGGATGGCCTTGTCTTTGGGGTGGGAGCTGGCTGCCTGGCAGGGGGCGGCATGGCGGGGTTATGCATTGTCTCGCATACGCAAGCATCGCCAACTTTGGGCAGGGCACCCCTTTCCTGCTCCACCTTCAATTGTGGTTTTCCCTTTGGTTTTTCAATATTGTTTGACTATTTTTGGAAGGATTCTGGTTAGAAAGCCAAGGCTTGGTTTAGCAGACGTGCTGGCATTCATTTGGAAGACGACAAATGGTGTGGGTAGGCCAGACTTGGAAGCAGTGAGTGAGGCTTGCGAGTTTTCAATCAGGTTGGCTTGGAAGCAGCCACGCTCGAGAGTTCGTTCTGGTTGTACTTTTCAGGCGCTGTGGCATTGCTGCAGAGACAGACCAGTTTGAGTCATAGAGCTCTTTCATTTTGGGTCTTGGAGTCTGGGGCTTTAAAAGATTGGCGTTTGTGTGACCTGAGGCTTTGACCTGTTAGCATTTTGAGGCCTGGAAGTGCCGAACTGCTCTGAGGTCACAAAACAATGTAACAAACAATCCTACAGCTCCAAATTGCTATAAGGTCTAACACAAAACACAACAAACAACAATCATTTTGGTCTTGGAGCTCAAAGGCTTGAAAAGATGGTGTTTGTTTGAGGGGCGATACAGAATGTCGGCACTTGGCCTCGAGATGCTGTAAGGCCGCAAAGAAAAAGAATCTGTAGCCTCAGAGCTCCAAGACCCATGAAAAATGACTTCAGCTCTTTGGAGCTGTAACATTGTTTTTGTTGGGGCCCAGCATGTTGAGTCCTGGAAGTGCTAAAATATAAAATGCTGTAAGGTCCCCCCGCCCCCCCCAAAGAAAACAATTAGAGGACTTGATGAGAGCAAACCTTTAAAATCCAACTTGAAACAAGAACTCTAAATACATTATACTTGAAACCCTCTTTAGCAAAGAGGAGCCTATTCAAACTGTAATTGAAGCTGGTGATTATGCTGGCATGGTTTCCGTATTAATTTATATTTGAATTTCACTTACAAGATTGAACAAATCCTTCTGGGAAAGGACACCACCTTTAAAGTCCAATTTGAGGTAAGACTCCCATATAGAATCAAACTGGTACCCTGTGTAAACAAGCAATCATACAGAGCTTTCTTGTTCAACACAACTTGAAGTCGATTTTGACATCATCTTTCAAAAGGAGATGGTATAAAGTATAGTTAACAGCTAGAAACCATACTAGAGTTATTTCCTTTTATATTATACTTGAATTCCAATGAGATTGAACAGATCATCTTGGGAAAGGAACTCCCGTTGAACATCTAAAGAATAATTCCAATTGAACTTTGTTTAAGAAAGAAAACCCTGTCAGAATTCTTGCAACTGGAATGTCTGCTAGGAGCCTGTCCTTCATGCAACAGTACATCATGAGAAGGAGCAAACATGTATATATATATATATATTTATCAATGGGACGAAGATATTAGACTAGCCACCTCCCCCTCCGCCCCTTGACAAACACGGGAAAGCCAAGAAGAAGACCTCCCTGCCGCCCTGACACCCCCGCCCTCCCCTCTATTGGCGGAAGCGCCACAAAGCAACGCAGGAACGAGTGTCCCAAATCTGCAGGATGAGCAAAAAGGTGCGGCGTATTGCAAAAATGATTGAGCAGTAGGTACTGCAAAGGAGTCTTACTGAAGAGGAGTCTGTAAGGCAATCGGAGTACTGTAGTTCTCTCAAAAGGAGTATGCTTAATTACATCTTCAGGTCACTGAGCCAACAAAAACTATGGTCCGCCTTTGTTAGCAGAAGCATCGCGTGCACAGCATATTATTCACGAGGGCAGCTCAGCAATCGTGTCCAACATCTTCAAGCCGGACTTACCTAGTGATACCGCAACAAGAAGGTGTGTCAGTGCCGTCTGACATGTTGCGATACCTCCACTGTGACGTACACAAGCTGCTATACACTAGACTTCATACTTTGAAGTACACCAACACATTCGGCGCGTGGCCACGTACCGTTTGGCCACAGAATAGGAGTGATGTGAACACTGTATATACTGCATGTAAATAGAAACTGGCGAGTCCAGCCATCCCTCCAAATCGCATCGAGGGCACGTGGACACACCGCTGATGGTCACGTCCCAGAAGTACATGTAGCCCAAAGTGTCGACAATAGACAGGGTGACGCACAGCACCACCTTGGGCCGCACTTATGACAATTCTCAATGTGGCCATGGGTCAAAATCCCGTACCCCCAGTGAACATCCCAATCCCCACTAAAATAGACTAAAATGGGCGTTGCACCTACCCAAAAAGGTACCAGTGGTTTTGACCCACAGCCATGTCGCAGGTCACTGTGCACTTGGCAAACGTGCTGTACCCAGCAACAACTTAGCGAGAAAACATCAATGACGGTACACTCAGGAACACTGGCAAGTGCTCCTTGCATAAGAAGCATGTGGCGGCCAGGGCATCAAGAAGAAAACCGAGCCGCCCAAATCGCGATCCGCGGATTCGGCACCAAGGCGAAGATCACGATCAAGATCACACCGCCGCAAACTGCAAGGTTCCTCATCAGCTCAGCGTCAATGACGCCCACCTGCACCAAAAGCGGTACCCATCTTTCCGGCTTGAAAGGTTGGCAAGGAGCTTCGAGGGTTGGTGAACCATTGCTGGCACTGAATTACATAATCCGAAGAGTCTTGCCTCGGCCAAAGACAGGTAACAACACGCCGTATAAGCTGATGGGCCTCACGATCTCAGTTTTCCTGCTATGGTGCGTCTGTGTGTCTATGTTGGCGTGTTCACTCGTATCAGGCAAGGCAGCAACCCAAACACAGAAACATGAGGCACTTCTCAGCCGAAAGTGCCACACTGCTGGCTGTGCACAGACCTCTTCCCAGTACAGGAAGTCGAAGCTGTATGGGAAGGCACCTCTGTAGAGTCGATCCACCTGCACATCCACAGGCCGTATGCGTGAGTCCCGCATTCATTACATCAGTATGTGAGCAGCCGCTTTGCTAAAACCAGAAGTGCGGAATTGAAGGACACTGAACAGACATGGGTGTGGCTGGTTTTGAGGGTATATACCTTTGTGGTTTAAGAGGGAAACCAAAAGGAAAGTTTGCTGCAAGGATTCCCCCACTTGAATGAGACGATCAAAAACTGCTTGACAAGCTGAGAAGCTTTGCTTTCGCCTAAACCGGTATTGGGCCATGCCTTGTTGAAATTTGCTTTCATGCTCAGAGCCTTCCCAAGTCGCTTCCAAAGTACCCTGCATGTCCCATTCATGCCACCAGATGCAATCCTCAAAGCGCAAGAAGGGAAACCCACACACTTCAAATATGCTTGCAGCGAAACAGCATGTTTTTTCTCACAACAGCTTCCAACTTGCGCTTGGACATGTCCAGCACTCTCAACATGCTCTTTGCTTCATATCCGTCTGCCGCCGGTACCTCGCCGCGCATGGAGGTCATGGTGATGTATCGGTCGGTGCCCCGGTCCGTGGCCGCCAGGGACAACTCCGCGTTGAAGCGCGAGGCAGCCAAGCCATCGGTCCTGGCGCGCTGCCTTGTCCTTTGACCCTTGTGAATGCTATAGAGTACGTCCATGCATGTATCCATATGCATGCATAAAATGTATTCATAGCTAATACGTGACACGCATATCACACGCAGCTATATCTTACACGTACATCTCAATGTAGCTGTCACTGTCCTGAGCGGCCATTGCGCAAAACTTTCAACGAGAAAGGTGGCGAGGAGCCCAACAGAAAGACTCACTGAGAGCCTGACGGGACGCAACCAGCAGGCAGCATATCCATGTTGGAGTCCACCTGGCAGTCCTGACCAGTGCTGATCCCGGCTTTGCCAGCCCGACCACGGTTGCCGCTGTTCTGTACCACCCGATAAGCAACATGTAGCATCGTCTCACGCCACTAGACCCACGCTGAGAAGCTTCAGTGCACAAACTTGATTACCAGTTCCCTTGCCTTTAACAAGATGCCCTGCTGATCTCAGGGGCCCAAACAGAAATCCAAAGCCACGCAAGACTGACACAGAAGCTCCATGGATCCGATTGGGTCGAGCCGAGAGCTGCTAGTCCTGGTCATTCCACTTCAAGGAGTTGCGGTAGCGGGAGCCCACGGAATTGCGGTACCTTCGCCGGCTATGTGGCCGGCTAGGCCCTCACTGCGTGCTACATCGAGCGGCAGCTTGAGACTGGAGCATCAGAAGTCAGAACGCAACGGTAGCTGTGGAGGGGCCTAGATGATCTTATCCAGGCAAGCGCTTATATGGCCTGCCACACAAAAGTGGCTGCATCCTGGAGTCTAGCAGCAGTGAGGGGGGGTTATGCTAGCTGCAATCTTCCACCAGGTGTGCGTTTGCATGAGTCCAGGGTGTTGACTGTCGACCTTTGTCTCAACATAACTGATGCACGGAAGCGACAAGACATAGATACAGTAGTGTCCCTCGCCGGTAGAAACAATGCAAGGCAACTCTTTATAGATGGTCAAATGGGTCAAAAAGCCTGATCTCAGTGAAGAAACCCAGACTGGTGAACGCTCTGCACAATGTTGCATGATTCACAAGGCTTCCTAGGTCCACATGCCGGTGTGCAATTTGAGACGCACAGCCAATCGTATTTTATGTGCGTGTGTGTGCTGTGTCTGTGCGTGTGCTGTGTCTGTGCGTGCGTTGTGTCTGTGTGAGCGTGGTGTGTGTGTGTGGTGTCTTGCGCGTGATCCGCATAGTGCGTGTGTGCATTGTGGATTGTGTTGCCTGTGCCGTGTGCATGCGCATGCGTGCGTGGTATTTTGTGTACGTTGTGTCCTGAGTACTTGCGTGTTTTTGCGCTTGTGTGCTTGCGAGTGCGTGAGAGTGCGCGCAGGCGTCTGTGCGTGTGCGTGCGGGCTCGCGTGCGTGTGTGTGCGGGCTCGCGGGCGTGTGTGTGTGCGTGTGTGTGCGTGTGTGTGCGTGTGTGTGCGTGTGTGTGTGTGTGCGCAGGGCGTGGGGGCGTACACGTGCATGTGTGCACTTGTGCCTTTAGCATACGTACAGATATGCATGTTTGAGTGTGCAAATATGCATATTGCGTGTGTGTGTGTGTACGTGTGTCTGCGTGTGGGTGTGGGTGTGTGTGTGTGTGTGTGTGTGTGTGTGCGTGTGCGCGTTCGTGTGTGTGTGTGTGTGTGTGGGGGTGTGCCTGCGCGCGTGTGTGCGCGTGTGCGACTGTGCGTGAGTGCCTCTGTGTGTGCATGTGTGTGTGTGTGTGCGGTTGTGTGTGTGGGTGTGTGTGTGCGTGTGCGTGCGTGTGCGTGCGCGTGTGCGTGTGCGCGTGCGCGCCGCGTGTGCGTGTGCGTGCGCGTGCGCGTGCGCGTGCGCGTGCGCCTGCGCGTGCGCGTGCGCGTGCGCATGCGTGTGCGCGTGCTCGTGCGCGTGCTCGTGCGCGCGGGTGTGCACGTGTGTGTGTGTGTGTGTGTGGGTGCGTGCGTGCGTGCGTGCGTGCGTGCGTGCGTGCGTGCGTGCGTGCGTGCGCGCGCGTGTGTGTGTGGGTGCGTGTGTGTGTGGGTGTGTGGGTGTGTGTGCGTGGGGTGTGCGGTTGTGGGTGAGTGTGTCTGTGTGTCTGTATGTGCGCGGGCGTGCGCGCGTGTGCATGCGCTTGCTTGCGTGCGTGCCTGCGTCCGTGGGCCCGTGGGTGTGTGTGTGTGTGTGGATGTGCGTGCGTGCGTGCGTGCGTGCGTGGGTGGGCGTGTGGGGTAGGTGGGTTGGCTGGCTGTTTGTGTGTGTGTCTGTGTCCGTGTGTCTGTGTGTTTGCGTGTTTGCGTGTTTGCGCGCGTTTGCGCGCGTTTGCGCGTGTGCAAGCGTGCGTGCGCGCGTGCGTGCGTGCGCGCGCGCGTGCGTGCGTGCGTGCATGCGTGCGTGTCCTCAGCCATTGCAAGCCATGTTCAACCGAACATGCAACGGCGTCAGGTCAAGCAAGAGCATGTAATACACATTCTGCACATATATGTACAAATGTGTGCATCTTCGTATACATGTTTGTAACGCGTACATGTATGCACTTAGACTTACATAGGCATACCCGCGTGCAAATACACATAGACACACCTACAATGACATGCGACGTGTGGTTGCTCAGTTGCTTGGTGCTGTGCATTGATGCCAGGACCTGTGACACACTCGCGCACACCATTCATAGAGAACCCACGATCATGAGCATTCAAACCTTGCCCCGTTTCCAGCGTGTTGATCATCTTTGGCCAGCTCTTCCTTCTGAATTGAGCGTGAAGCTCTGAAGCTGCTTGCCAGGAGACCAGAAATGCAGTGCGGTGTAGAACTCCGTCTTGTCCGTAAAGACCTTATGCAAGGCAACTTCATGGTAGGTAGTTGTCAAAAAATAATTAAAGACTTTGTGGCTACAGCAGAAAACATCGTAAGGTCGGTCAAGAGCGCCGTCTTTCTGTTGCTGTACTATTGAGTATGGTCTTAGCTTGACTGGGATTGGCAGAACCTGTGCTACATGGCCGGCTTCTCTGTTTGGCGAAGCAATCATGAAGCAAGAGCATGATCCTCGACAGGTTGCTGAAATAATCGTGTCAAGAGTTAGGGAACACACACACACACACCGACAACAACCACAACGCCAGCAACCTTTCAGACCTGTATACCAGTACCTTCGTCCGCGTGACAAACGGGTCAGTGAGAAGCATTGATTTCAAAGACGCTGCATTCTTTCTTGGCCACGTGTGGGATCCAACAGCGAAGGCCCATCTATGGGTTATATATATATATATATATATCCGCCGACACAGGCGCGATTATATATATATATATATATATCCGCCGACAACCGGCCATGGGCAGCCATCGGCCTTAATCTGGCCATTGCCTTTGATAAATTAGCCACTGTTGATAAAACGGCCACTGAGGCTGGCCGGCCTTTACCCGCCCTTGATAATGCTCCTTACCTCCTCACCTGTTACCCCTCCCCTTGGTCCACGTACCATTCCAAGACGTTCCACTAAATCACTAAATCCTTTCTTTTGGGGGCTGTGCGAAACACAGTTGCGTAAAACATTGGGGTGTTTGATTCCCCCGGGTCCGCAGCGCATCCTTAGCAGCTCCAGCGGCACATCGCCAGCATCACCTGCATCATCCGCATCAGCGCCTGCCAAGGATGCGGATGATGCAAGTGATGCTGGGGATGTTGCCCATGCTGGTGAAGGAACATCTGGAAAATACATGGAAATTAATGACATGAAGTGAAATGAAAGAAAGGGAACAAACACACATAAAGGAACATGAGCCGAAGAGGGAATGTGAAGGGAAATGAAGATCTTCGAGGGAAAGGGGGGAAAAAGATTTTAGGGGGGGAACTGGGCAGAAGATCGGGTGGGGGGAGAGGATCTCAACCGGGAAAGGGGAAGGGGGAAAAGATCTTAGCGAGGAAAAGCGAGAAGATCTGGAAAGGCTTAGGGAGAAGGGGGGGAAAGATCTCAGGGAGGAAAGGGAGAAGATCTCAGCGGGGAGAAAGGCCTTGGGGGGGAAAGGGGGGAAAGGATCTCAAACGGGAAAGGGGGGAAAAGATTTGAGGGAGGAAAAGGGAGAAGACCTGAAAAGGCCTTGAAAGCATCTCAACAGGGAAAGGGGGGGAAAGATCTTAGGGAGGAGAAGGGAGAAGATCTTGGGGGGAAAAGGCCTTAGGGGGGAAACGGGGGAAAGGATCTTAAGCGGAAAAGGGGGGAAAAGATGTGAGGGAGGAAAAGGGAGAAGAACTAAGGGTGGGAAAAGGCCTTAGGGGGGACAGGGGGGAAAGGATCTCAATAGTAAGGTGGGAAAAGATCTTAGGGAGGAAAAGGGAGAAGATCTCAGGGGGGAAAAGGCCTTAGGGGGGAAAGGGGGGAAAGGATCTCAACAGAACCGGCCGAGGTCTGTCGTATGGAAACTAAAGCAGAAGCAGATCTTTGGATGAAAGGGAGTGTTAAAACTTGGGGGGTGGTCCAAGGATGGAGATCAAAGCGGTGCGTTCACATGTTTGCACCAGGCTGGTCAGCGGTTGTGGGCATCTGTGCGCCTGTGGATGCCGGTTTGCATCTGAGCGGGGAAGGGGGGCAAGCGGACAATTCCTAAGGGTTGCAAATAAGAAAGCAGGCCTGTAATGTCGGCGGCCTGAGCCGGAGGCGTTAAAATATGCATAATATGCAAGACGCAATGCAAGTGGTGTCGGTAACTTCCATGAAAACAAGGGGGCCGTGCCTCGCAATCGCTCCGCTTGCTTCCAAGCCACAGCCTGCGCGTCGCTGCGCGCCGGTGAGAAGGTGTCATCCAGCGTGGCGACCTGGGGTTACCCCAACTGGGTGTCGTTATCCCTTTCTTGTGGTGTCAAAGGGAAACCAAACCGAAAACGCCATTTTGGGGCGTGCCCTAAAAAGACACGCCCACATCGTTGCTTGGAACGTTAGATGTTCTTGGGGTATCTCCACGTGGGGTATGGGACCTTAGATTGAAGTGACACACCCAAACTTGTCGATAATGCTGCTTGGTAAAATGACACACGGCCAGATGAGAAGATGAGAATCTGCATTGCAAGAAAGTCAGGCAACAAAGCGGTGCAACGATGCACTCGACAAATGAAGGCTTGTCAAAAAAGTAAGGGCCCTGTTTGGTCTCCCCTTTACAAGGCGGCACAAGGCCGCACCAGCTCCCAAAAAAGGTTCAACACCCCAAATACACCCATGCCATGGTTTCCACCATGGCAACTCACGATTTGTCGCCTGGTTCGGGGCGGTGGCCCACTCCATGAACTCCATGTGCCAGCTGTCCACCACCGCATCCTCTGCTTTGAAATGGCTTGAGGGGAAGGCGGAGAGTCACTTTTAGGGTCAGGCACTCCGAGACTTGCAGCATTGCATCCACCAGGCCGAGACAGCATGTGCTTGGTCTCACCCCTGCATCTGTGTCTTGTTGCGTAAATTTGTGTCGCCGCGTTTCTTTTCTTCCTTGCGCTCTTCGTTGCACGCGTTTTAAGATGCAGCCTCTCAGGGCAGAAGGGTGAGCAATGAACGGTGGCCATTGCATGCTCAATCAAAACAATGGCGTCAGAGCTATATCCTATGAATTTCGAAAGCAAAGAACACTGCCTGCCTGGCGAGGTGAGTCCCAACTGTCCTACGACCCAAGAGTCTCGACTTAAGGTCTGTCACCAAACCTTCAGGGCCCAGCAGCCAAGTTGCGTGATTGACGAGGTTGCTGGTGTTCAGGTATCCATAGATATCATAGAGATTGCTCTGCTGGTCGTACACGTCAGGCGACATGGGGAAGTTCACAGTAATGGGCGTGCCTGCAAGCTTCAGTCCTTCTGAACCATGCGCTTGGCTGAAGCTACCAAATGGCCCCTGAAAAAAACTTGTGACAGTGGTAAATCAAATCAGAAACCAAAACTTGGGCACCCCAAGTGGAATCGTTGCAGCTCGACTGCCAAATTGGCTTCTTAGGACTGGACATGCCAAATTGCAACCTGCCTGTGGCGAAGTTCTCACGATTGATGTTGAAGAAGGTGTTCCTCAGATTCAGCGTGGATGGCAAGCCCGAAGGTTGATGCCATGCGGGGTTCATGCTTCCTTTGTTATACAGTGGATATGGTGTACATAGATTGGGCTCTGTCCACTTGCTGAACAGGTCTTGCAGCGTACAAAACAACGCTTGAACATTGGTCCTTGACTAAAATAAATCAGTTCCAGGCCCCATAAAGTTCAATCTCATCATTTCGACAGATGTAGACATGTCAAACATGGCAAATGCTCTTGGCACGCTGCGGCCACGATCTGCAATGATCGTGCCGGGCTCTGTCAAGTGGACTGAGGCCCTTGTTTTCAACATTCTGTCGCCCAGTTGGACTCATCAAGCTAACACACGCCGGGATTGACCACGTCTGCTGATCGTGGACACTTGCCCTAAACTAACAGCTGCCGGGAAGCACATACGAGGAGTCGGGGATGAACCATTCCAGCTTGAAATCCTGTGCATAGCTTGCAAACTTGTCAGGCACTCGCGATGCTTTGGCCTATGAACCTTGAGAGAGCCTTTATATACATGGGTGTGTCTTCTTTTGGGGACCCCCCCAATCAAAAGGTGGGGCCTTTTGGTGTTCCTTTCCAGTGCCAAAAAAGGGTAGCCTCAAGAAAAGACATAGCCACATGATCTCTGCGGCCCACCTGACTTCCCAACCTCTCACCGGCTGAAGGCTCCTTGTAGATCTGAGTGCTTCCATAGATCCCGACCCCCGTGATGATGGCGAAGATGATGAAGGTCACAATCTGTCCGTGCGAGGGCAGATTCCATGATTGCTGAGATAGTTGCCTCCTCTTAACTCTCTTTCAACACTTCAAGTATGTGCCACAAACAGGATAGAAAGCCAGTCACCAACTGATCGGACAGTGAGAAAGCTGATAAGTTTCCAAGTGAGTGTTTAGCTGTTTGCCTGCGGCGTCTCGACGTTTCTGCGCCCTTGTCCGTTCTGATGTCTCTACGTCTGTCCCCCTGAATTCCAACTGTGCACATGTTGGTGTCAGCTCCTTGACGAGGGCCCTCAACATGCCCTTTGGAGGAGTATTCTCCATGTTGTGCTTGAGGGGCATGGGCCCATGGTGGCTGCATACAGAACTTAAGCAACCCTGATTGCCATGCTACTGGATTATATTCGGAGCCGCTCATTTTGAAAAATCGAGTGCCACAAGACAAAGCACAAAAAAGCTTCGGGGAACCACTTGGCGATCTGCAGGCTTCGGAGCATTGAAAGGCGCATGCCAGGAGAGATCCACGCTCCAAATTCGAGATCGGCAGAGTTGCCTGGCCCACCGGCTTTGTAGCCTGCTCGGTGAAGCTGACCAAGCCTGTCAAACGTTAAGAGGCATTCATTGAGTGCAGAGCTTTGCAGTTCATCCCGACTGAGACAACGCAAGTCTGACAGCATGGCTCCAGTAACTTGGTTTTTGGTTGGAAGCATCATGCCCGCGGATCGACCGCGTTGGAAAGGTTTGTATTTGGGGACGCCTGCGAAACCTCGGCTCAGATCGCAAGGCAGTAATGTTAACCCCAGATTAATAACCCCCTGGTTGATTAATAGGAAAGTTGTCCCCTTTTAGTGGAGATTCAGACCACATTTGGAGGGAACACCCCCCTACTAATGGGAGGGTTCTACTTAGATCCTGGGCCAACATTGGATGAAAGCCCGGAAAAACCATCTTCCACGGAGCACTTCGACAGGCCAAGATTGCCACCGGCCTTTCCGGATGAAGCCTCCCTTCAGCACCTGCGGAGTGGCCGGATGGCCGGACGCCAAGAACCAAGCAAAGGAGCGAACGACGTTTAGCCAATACAAAGGCGAGGCTCCTGAAACCCCTGGTAAGTGGCAACATGGAACAAAACCTGTGGTCCCCAGGTGGTTTAATTTCGACCCACACCCAAATGAGAGCTGCCTCTTCGCAGCAGCTCTCGCCAGTGAATGACCGCTGAAGATCGCTGAAGGGGATCCAGACATGAATGCCGGATCTAGTGCCAACACGCTTTACATCCAGCCTCCCATTCGGATGCCTCATGCTAAATTAAACAGGGACGAGAAAACACCTTTCTTTGAATCTAGTAATCTGTAGATGGCAAGCTTTGAAGAGCTCTGTAGGCAAGCTGCAAGTCAGAAGGGTTGCAACCATACACTAGTGCCTGATACGATTGAACAACAACAGCTTATTGCTTGTTTCAAGAAAACGCTGAGGCAGCTGTGCAGTTTGGGATGACCCTGGCCGTTGCCCGAAGTGTCTTGCCAGAAGTACAGGTTCAAGCATCCAATCTGCCCCTCCATCTCCCTCAACAATTGCCTGCCAAAATCGCCTACTCAATGCCAAAGTGGCAAAAAGCCAGGCTTCAACGGAGCGATCTGGTTATGAGAGTCATGAGTTGGGTGCAGCGCTTCTCACGTGCCTTCTGCGGCAAACAGCAGCAGCAGCATCCCTGTGGCTCTTCCACGGACCGCTCTGAGAGCTTGAGGCAGCAGCAGCAATCCATGCGGCTTGAGCGAGTGCCTTGGATTCTGACTTCTGACTTCTGCACCCTCCGGAGCACAACCTTCACCCAGTAACCGTCACACATGTATGATTGCAGTAGAGACTCACAAGTCTATGGCTTCCCTCATATCAATTCATTCACCGCATGAACTGACGTAAATCATCTGCGTCCATCCTGCAAGAAAGTCACTGAAAAGCATGAGATTAATGCCTGAGATTTGGTGTGAACCATACATATTTTATGAGATCAAGCATGTAGAACTATGTATCCAAACTATGCATAATTCATATCGTGTCATAGTAGATACATTGCCTCATACTAAGCAGCCCAGGCAGCAGTTTGTGTGGCCCAACAGTTGGAACCTCTGCAAGTTTTTGTTTTCTTACGCCTTATGGGAGGAATGGCTTCCGTTTTTTTTTGGGTGGAAAGGTTGCCATACACATCCCAGGCTGCGTCGGGCGTTCAATGCCAGGACGGGAAGGAACACTGTCAGCTGGAAGGTGTAGCACAGGACAATGGACACGCCTGGCAATTCGAACGAACCTGACTGCGCCTGGGCCGCCTGGGTTGACTGGAACATTTTTTGCTCCCTTCTTACTTTGGAAAAATACGCCAATGCAAAAAACACCATATGCCCTTGAATTAGATATGTTCCAGGACAGTTCCAGGACTCCCCCCAAATTCCCCCGAAGGCTCCCCCCTTGTAAGCCAGCTCCTGTGCAGGCTTCTCTCGGCTTCAATTGAAATGCGTGGCGCAAGGCTCATACTTACCGTTGTGACCTGCTCAGTACCGAGATGAAGCACCCTGTTTAGGCCATGGTGGATCGTAGTCAACAGATTGGCGAGCAGCTATTTCATCCAGGTGAGAACGGCGCGCGTTCCAAAGGCCGCACTCCAGCTTACCCGTGTCAGCCCGGTGATGCTATCTGATGCGCGCTGGTCCAAAGGCTGCAGGGCGGGGCACCAATGAACAAAAGCGGCCCAAGCTCGGTGACAGATAAAAGAGGCGATAACAATCAGTATGTGTCGGGTTACCACCTCGTTCTCCAAGCCCGCGACCGTTTTGACTGACTGACCTCGTTTTGCAACGCCGCATGTTGTTTGATCTAAACCCCCTATAAGTCAATGCGTTTGCGCACTGGCTTGCCGTCTGCGCTGTCTCCGGTGCTGTTGCCGCTGGAGTTTTTGCACAGCAGCATCAAGATAAAGCCATCACGCCCAGTATCACGGAGAAGTGTTGGAGGGGCATCTGTGGCGGCAACATGGGCAAGTGCTCGTTTGGACTGCCTCAAGGCCTTGTTCTGTTGTTTGACCTCGTTCTGGGCATCTTTTGACATGGACCCAAATTTGGAGAAAAATAGCCAGAGATCGTCTCGCTCTGGCCAGCATTGTGGAAGCTTCATCTGTAGTGAGTCTGGACATGCCACGTCATTGGGATGCCCTGCTGCAGCTGCAAGGCTCGTACTAGTGCCTCCCTACCAGCATTCCACATCATTGCACGTATAAATATTGTGGCCATGCCTCGGTTTGGGGGTGTTCCTACCTCGTTCTGAACCTGATTCAGTACGCTACCCCAAGAATATGTCCGCCCGGTCTCTTCTGAAAGTTAAGGCGGTCGCTCATGCTGAGGTCCGACATGTCGACTTGCCCGCCCACGGAATCTCTTGTGCTGTCCACGCCCTTGTTCGCCACGTTGAGAAGCTTTGGCCGAAGCTGTCAAAGCTTGATCTCCATGACTCTAATGATTTCCCTGCCCCTGCCCCTACTGATTGCCTGCGTAGGTGCAGAACCAGCCCAGCGCCGGCAGCACGGTGGTGGCGCCAACCAGGAACGCCAAAGCGTCAGTGGCGGAGGTGATGAGCACCTCAGCGGATGTGGGCGACTTCGCCAAACGAAGCAGTCTGCCCAATGGAACATCAGGGCCAACAGGCAAAGCCAAAGAGATGTTGATGGCCAACGGATCTGAGCGAGGCCCGTGAATTGTTGATCTCGTATCTGCGCACTCTCTGACTTTTCTATAGAAAAGGCTCTTCGTGCGGCAAAATTCAGCGCCGGAAACGGCAAGTCGCAGATTCAACTGCTGAACGCTAATAGCACCAAGGTACAGAGATACCTCCAGTGCGGGCCGTGCGAGCAATCAGCTCCGCAATTGAGATGTCCTCACCCTGCGCAACTGGCACGGACATGGCCCAAATGAGGCTCTCTATCTTGAACATGGATAACCCTTCTTGGCTTGTGACCGAAGGGATCTGCTTTGATATGGCTTTGGTCATCGTTTGCTTCCGTGGTCCACCAACTCCTGGCATGTGACCCTGCCCCTCCTTTGCTCTCGTGTCGGTCAGGTGGCGCGCAAACTCGGAGCTGAGGACGAAAGCGTCATCAACGCCAAGACCCAAAAGCAAGAAGTAGAGGTTGTTGTTCAGGTTTCCTCAGGTCAGAGGCTCGGCTGCTTTGCACAAGGCTGATACTTGAACAAGTCGAGTTATTGCGGCACCTGGTCAATGGATCGCATGTCACAGATGTACCTTCAGCCAATTGCACCCCTGCCGCTCCCGGCACCTGCATGCAAGACTCAAGCGGCAGCTAAGGCATGCCCAGCGGCCGTTGGGCACCCCGAAGTAGCCCATGAGCCCCAGAGTGGACCCGATGGTCAGGCCCACGATGAGCACCGCCACCATGGACAGCACCACGCCGCTGTGCACGGCGTCCATCTTGCCGATCATGATCTCAGATGCCGGGGCTGAGCTGAGATGCTGGGGCCCTGGGGCCAAGGGCCATGCTGAATTTGATTGGTGAAAAGCAAGACAAATGAGCAGTGTTTTTTTTGGTGGTTCGAGCCCTATACACTACTTGCATGCCTACGCGAAGGCCTACGCAAACCTACGCGGCCTGCGAGGGGTCCCTACGCGAGCACAAGTCAGCTTCCAGGTGCCTACGCGAATGCCTACGCGGGCAAATGTTGAGTTCAAGTGTCGAAGTGCACTGTGGCAGCTACAGCTGGAAAATCGCAACTTTTCAGTACAAGTGCAGTTTTGGCAGCTCCGGCTCTAAGATCAGAATTGCAGTACAAGTGAGAAGCCCGCATCTGTCCAAGGATCTGGCTGCCAGAAAAGGTCTACGTACCCAAAATGCCTTGAAAGCCTACGCGAATGCCTACGCGGGGCCTACGCGGACCAGAACAAACAGAAGGAAGGCAAAAGAAGCAAATTCATTTATACTTGGCAAACAGCACTGAGTCATGATTGGTTCAACAAACGCCTACGCGAAAAGCCTACGCGAGCGGTGACACAACAGCCTACGCGCTGAAGCCTACGCGAGCCTACGCCCCCAACCAGGATTGCCTCCGCAAAGTACATGCAGTTCCCTTTTTGTATAAACCCTTTCATTTGATTAAAAAACGCTGCTCAAATGTCAAACAAGGAACACCAAGTCTTCTCCCGAAAACGAATCGCGCAAGTCCTTTTGCATTTCATGAGGTGAGGTTTCAAATAATCCAAGGCACCACTGGACAGGGAGACTTCTCTGTCCGGCTGTCACCGCTTGTATCTCATATAAGTTGCAGCACACATGTTGATCATATGGGCTTGTACTCTCCCTCGCGTCAACGCTTCCAAACGACGGGCCATGCATCACGCGCGTTTGCCGCCATGGTGCAGCACAGTAGACCTCAGAGTGCACTGCCCAAAGGGTTTGCTGGCTAGGCAAAACTTGTCTCAAAGACAAAACAGCTTGATGTGTACGACTGTGCCCAAACAACACTTCACTCATCTTGCATAGCTCTGATACACTGTTAAGGACCACAGCCAGCTTGAAGCTATTGCCAAGAGCTGCAGCTGCAAGCTGCCTTGCAGCCTCGCCCTACAAACAAAGCGTGTGGATAAGCGGGTGAGGCACTTGCCTGAAATCCAGCCTGCTACAAGAGGGCTTGAGAACCCCGAATGCACCCCGCTTTGTCTATTCAATCCAGGCTGCAATGATCACAAAGTAAGATGCGGAGAGTTTGGCGATGTCACCGCGAATGGCATTGCCAAACTCATCGCCCAAAGATCGTTGGAAAAGGCCTTAGCTGTGTGGCCCGAGGTTCAGCAAGCATTGGCAAGCCCAATGCGGCAAACCCTACCGAGGTTGCTTCCTTCAACACGGAGAGTTGAGGAAACTATCGACCTCTAGTGGGAAGCAGCCCTCCATGACTCTGCACTGCGGAACTTCAGATGCAAAGAGCTGCTGATTGGTCAACAACTATATAAGCATCTGTGCCAAATGTGCTCACTGTTCAGTGGCAAAGCGTGGAGGATAACAAACCTACCTTCTGCGCGAGTACAGGATAGCAGGTGCAAAACGTTCGATGCAATTGAAAAGAGAAAAGCCCATACACGAAGCGTTTGACCAATTTAGCACCCCAAACATCGATACGGCGAGTATGCATCGTCAGCTCTACCAAATCGTGCAAAGGTCTTTGCTCTGCGTGTAACTGATACCATGACACTGTCTTGCTAGCTAGCGAGACTGAACAATGACGGAAGATGCTGTCAATGTCGCAGAACAAATGCGCAACATGGAACAACGGAATGTGAACCAAACAAGCCATGATGGACATAAGCAATCAAACGATGGAAGCACGGCAATCAGCGCCAAACTTCAACCTCCTTGAGAAGGAGCACTCACAGTCTAATGAGAAGCATCAATGGGAAAAGCATCAAGGTGACAACATATTGATGACATTGGTTAATAGGTCACAGCCACTTAAGCATCAACACCGCAAGCAAGCAGGGCGAGACCCACATTTCGCCCGGGAAACAAAACAAAAACGGCCGCCAGCTAGGAAGCAGGATGGAGCATGGGGCTTTGGCAATACAAAGCTTGGTTCTTTTGGCAATACACCCATTGAACAAAAAAACTCTTTGAGCCCCTGGTCGGGGCTAGGGATAGCCGGAAAAAGGCCCCGTGATTCTTCGGCTCTATGAGATTGCAAAAAAGGATATTTTGGCTCTGCGAGTTTTTGGCTCTGTTGTTGGCTCCGGGATAGCCCATCGAGCGCGCCCGCCGTTGGGACCAAAGCAACCGCTGAACTTCAGCAGGTCATCCTCCTTGCAGTCCAGCTTGGGCTCGGCGCGGGTGTCCGCATCCACGCCCATGCTGAGCGCAGGCATGGAGAAGCGCGGGTCATATGGCTGTGGCTCAAAATTCAACAGGAGGGGCAAACCGCAGGTTTTGGTCCATGTTTCCACTTACCAGGATTCCATTTTGCTACCGTTCTTGAGCCAAAGGCTTAAGGGCCATATGTGTCACCGGAGTACTCATGATACTACTTGTATGATTTGCATTTGTCAGGGTATATTCCATGGTATTGGCATGGTTATTGGAATATTATTCATTCTATGGTCTGCAAATAATACTTTAAAGCCTTATTGCGCAATTGAAACTCCACACTTGCTTTGATATTGCGTGCAAAGCGGAAAAGACTGCATCCATCTAGCCGTTACGGGGCAAAGTTCAACGTCAGCCCCGGATTCCAAAGCCCTACATGAAATCAAAGACCCGACGAACGGAAGCAACATGGGCGACTTAAGATCGCTCCGGGCGAAGGCGACACACAGAGTTCGCCTGCGATGTGCTGCCAGGTTGCATGCATAAGGCGCGTCGCTCCCACTCATCCGCCACTGGGTCTGTGCGGCCCACGCTGGGGCAGTACAGCTCCTGAGATGGTACTTGACTGCGACACGCATTGAGGGACAAACAACGATAAACAACCCCTGTACAGTAGTGGTAGGCTCATCAAACGCAAAGAATCTTAGCTGGATTGCCGAACGGGCAAACTCTGTGGTCATCGGGCCAATCATCTCCGCCCTTTCCTATCCCTGAAGTGACACGATGAGGTGAGCTTCCAATGACTGCATGCAAGGCAACATCCGATACATTTAGGCTTCAGAAGCAGCTTTAAAAGCTGCTTCTGAAGCCTACATTCATCGGATGTTGGCTTGCATGCAGTCTTTGGAAGCTCACCTCATCGTGTGTTTTGATTCCTGAAAATTCAACAAATGGAAGGCGTCCTGACCTCAACAGTCCGGCACGGTGGAAATTTAGGAATCCAGCAGCCAAGGCTCATTCTTGTCCAATGCCCAAAAGCCTGCGATGTGCTTGCCGCCCGCATACTTCCAGTTGGAGTTGGACACCTCAGCAAAGTTGATACGTGACAGGCCTTCGAATGCCATCAAAGTGGAGAAAGATGGAGAAAGGCTACAACTGCACCAGCTGAAAGTTGTCAGGCCAGAGTTCGATTGTGAGGGGTCCTACTGGCACCTAAAAGGAACACACCCAATTCATGTTTATACGTTGCTGTTTCACGGACCGACCTACACCAAAGGGAGATCGGCGCAAAGCACTTCAAGATGTTCTGCCACCGTGCGTTAACTTTCTCACTTAGTGTGTTTGTGGTTGGCATTTACCTACAATACTCAACCTTGTCACACCTGAAGCACTAGTGAATTGCAGCACGTTGGTGGGGCACGAAACCTGTTCAAAGGTCTGTGGCAAGGCCGAGGGATGAATTGCCTTGCCCTTGAACCAAACCACTTCTCGTCTCCCTCCAAATATGGAAAGGCAATACAATGTGTCCAGGTCCGTGCGAAAAAAAATCGCGGTTTCTGCCAAGAGGGAGTATGGCGGTCCAAATTCACCCAACTGGTGCCTCCAATTCAGTTGCCAGGATTGGAACAATCCACCGTGCCACCTATTTGACTCGGCGACTTCCAAGGCCAAGTCTCCAATCCTCCCACCATGGTCCCGATCTTGGTCGGCTGGAACTCGAAGGCGCTCTCGGGCGCCTGTCCTGGGTCCTTGGGATAGCTGGCCATGGGGCAAAATCCAAATCGTACCCCCAGTGAACATCCCAATCCCCACTCAAATAGACTAAAATGGATGGTGCACCTACCCCAAAATGGTACCCAGGGCCCAGGCGACCAGAAGGGAGCGACGTGCTTAGCGTCAAGGCTTGATCTGCCATTCCCCCCCCCTCAATCACCCCATCCCCCGCCCCCCCCTAACTCGGAATTTGCATGATCGGCGGATCGCCAGAATGGGGAAGAAAAAACGGTAAACTGAAGTGGGTGGGTTTTACTGGTTGCTTTGATTTTGCTGTAAGGTTCAAGAGCTGAATGCATTTAAGGCTGATTTTAAGCTGTTTTTATTGCTTGTCGCTCTATTTCGGATCTGTGGGGAGTCGAACGTGTGTCGAGCTTGCGGCTTTGCTAGGCTGGGGCCTCGGTTGCTCCGGTGTAGCGGTGAGCACGTTGTCTTTGGAGCGTGCTGCTCTCGCAAGTTCAAATTGAAACATGGTCCAGTTGCCGATCTCACCGATCTCATTGAGCTGACTCTAGAAGTCCTACCATCCTACCTGTCTGCAAGATCATGTCGTGTAACAAGATCCTGGAAAACAGAATTGCTAGCACACAGAAATAAAGAGAAGATACAATGAACTGGAGAAGAAAGGAATGGAAAGGCTGGGAAGACTTCTAGTGGTTGACAGTCTCAACAAGAATTAGAGATAAAAATGAAAGAGAGGGAAAACAAAAACGATTATCGATGATGAACAACAGAACATAGAATCTGAATACAAATATACAGACAATCATAGTATGTAAAAAAGGAAGAAGAAAAAAGAGCATATGAATGAGAAAGACGGGAATGACCACAAACAAACCATTATATTTCGAAGACGTTCGTCATATCACTCCTGCATCTCTGTTCAGAATTCACTCCTTCCACTTTATCTGTCACATAATCCGCCGACCCTTTCTCTAAAAAGGGGAGGCGCACGGGAAGGGTGGTTGGCGCATAAGTATAACCAAAGCTTCATCCTCATCAGCATCAGAAAGGGATGTTAGACATCCTTGGCAATGCAAAGGATGCGATGATGATAGTTATCCAGGAACCAGTAGATATGCAGAGGATGTTGTGATGATAGTTGTCATGACGCGGATGATAACGATCATCACGCCCCCATTATCATCATGGCCGTCGTCATCTCTTATCAGGCAGCATTGGTGATGCAGACGATGCTACGATGATCGTTATCATGACAGCCGTTTAGTGATGCTAAGGATGCTACGATGATAGTTATCATCCTCGTCATCATCTTTCTCATCATCTGATCATCACCTAGCATCATCTAAAATCTTATTATATATAGAAATCAAAAGGGACGTTAGACATCCTTGGCAATGCAAAGGATGCGATGATGATAGTTACCAAGGAACAAGTAGTGATGCAGAGGATGTTGTGATGATAGTTGTCATGACGCGGATGATAACGATCATCACGCCCCCATTATCATCATGGTCGTCGTCATCTCCTTTAACGCAGCATTGGTGATGCAGAGGATGCTACGACGATAGTTCTCATCACAGCCGTTAGTGATGCTAAGGATGCTACGATGATAGTTATCATCCTTGTCATCATCTTTCTCATCATCTGATCATCACCTAGCATCATCTAATATCTTATTATATATAGAAATCAAAAGGGATGTTAGACATCCTTGGCAATGCAAAGGATGCGATGATGATAGTTATCCAGGAACCAGTAGATATGCAGAGGATGTTGTGATGATAGTTGTCATGACGCGGATGATAACGATCATCACGCCCCCCTCAGGCAGCATTGGTGATGCAGACGATGCTACGATGATCGTTATCATGACAGCCGTTAGTGATGCTAAGGATGCTACGATGATAGTTATCATCCTCGTCATCATCTTTCTCATCATCTGATCATCACCTAGCATCATCTAAAATCTTATTATATATAGAAATCAAAAGGGACGTTAGACATCCTTGGCAATGCAAAGGATGCGATGATGATAGTTACCAAGGAACAAGTAGTGATGCAGAGGATGTTGTGATGATAGTTGTCATGACGCGGATGATAACGATCATCACGCCCCCATTATCATCATGGTCGTCGTCATCTCCTTTAACGCAGCATTGGTGATGCAGAGGATGCTACGATGATAGTTATCATCACAGCCGTTAGTGATGCTAAGGATGCTACGATGATAGCTATCATCCTCGTCATCATCTTTATCATCATCTGATCATCACCTAGCATCTTCTAGTATCTTATTATATATTTAAATCAAAAGGGACGATAGACATCCTTAGCAATGCAAAGGATGCGATGATGATAGCTATCAAGGAACCAGTAGCGATGCAGAGGATGTTGTGATGTTAGTTGTCATGACGCGGATGATAACGATCATCACGCCCGTGCCATTATCATCATGGTCGTCGTCATCTCGTATCACGCAGCATTGGTGATGCAGAGGATGCTGCGATGATAGTTCGATGATAGTTATCATCCTTGTCATCATCTTTCTCCTCATCTGATCATCACCTAGCATCATCTAACATATTATTATATTTAGAAATCAAAAGGGACGTTAGACATCCTTGGAAATGCAAAGGATGCCATGATGATAGTTATCCAGGAACCAGTAGATATGCAGAGGATGTTGTGATGATAGTTGTCATGACGCGGATGATAACGATCATCACGCCCGTGCCATTATCATCATGGTCGTCGTCATCTCGTATCACGCAGCATTGGTGATGCAGGGGATGCTGCGATGATAGTTATCATCACAGCCGTTAGTGATGCTAAGGATGCTACGATGATAGCTATCATCCTCGTCATCGTCTTTATCATCATCTGATCATCACCTAGCTAGCATCATCTAATATCTTATTATATATAGAAATCAAAAGGGACGTTAGACATCCTTGGCAATGCAAAGGATGCGACGATGATAGTTATCATCCTCGTCATCGTCTTTATCATCATCTGATCATCACCTAGCATCATCTAATATCTTATTATCGAAGGAAGTTTAGAAGTCTAACTTCCGACAATATCGACAACTCAAGCAGAGCAGTGCAGAGCGAGAGATAGAGAGAGAGAGAGAGAGAGAAGAAGAGATGAAGAAGCGATGAAGAAAGATGAAGAAGCGATGAAGAAAGATGAAGCATGGTGTGCGAAATGTTAGAAAGGTCGCGAAATGCTGTATTTTTCAATGTTTTGAGCCTCCAGACGGCCCAGAAGTTACTTCGGTAAAGCGGCGGGTGCGGAGCCTTTGGTCGGAATTGCTGGCAAAAAATCGCACGCGGCCTGCGCGCGGTGCACATTTGGAAGTCAAAATCGTAAAAACACTACATGCTCGGGCTACTTTTGGAAGCTCCAACTTTCAAAAATCGCACGCGGCCTGCGCGCGGTGCACATTTGGAAGTCAAAATCGTAAAAACCTGAGAGGGTCGGGCTACTTTTGGAAGCTCCAACTTTCAAAAATCGCACGCGGCCTGCGCGCGGTGCGCGTTTTTAAGATGCAATGTAGCTTGACAGCGGTAAAACGCATTGGAATGGCAACGCGCAAGGCTTTTATCTAACTTGGAAAAATGCGTGGCGCCTGCGCGCGGTGCGCGTTTTTTAAGATGCAATGTAGCTTGACAGTGGTAAAACACATTGGAATGGCAACGCGCAAGGCTTTCATCCAATTTGGAAAAAATGCGTGGCGCTTGCGCGCGGTGCGCATTTCTAAGATGGAATGCAGCTTGGCAGTGGTAAAACGCATTGGAATGGCGACGCGCAAGGCATCCTACGCTGCCCTGTTGAGTTAGTCGCGCTCTAAATAGATAGACAGACAGACAGATAGATAGATAGATAGATAGATAGAAAGCTGGAAAGATAGAGAGACAAGTAGACAGATAGATAGAGAGGTAGACAGGCAGATAGATAGGTAGATAGACAGATAGATAGATAGATAGGGAGGTAATGTCGCTGTGACCGTGTGGCGTTTCGGCTCTGTCTTGTCAGTTGCTCCGCGTATGTCATGTTTGTTCAATGTCCCGGTTTTCGTCACCAGCATCACTAGCATCACCACCACCACTGTTCATGTTTGTTCATGTCCCGGCTTCAATCGCGGAGCGGCAACTCACATCACCACCACCACTACCACCACTACACTTTCACCAGCACTCCCACCAGCACCACACACAGGCCGAGAACATGTTAATGTTCTAGTTTGTTGTTTGTCACCAGCCGACCTACCAGCATCACGCTCAGGCGGACAACCTCTTGATGTTTTTTTTTTAGTTTGTGTTCCCACAGAACGCATATACTTCCACAGACACATGCCAGTGACATCGTTTCCTTGTGTATCCCGCACGGTGGAGCGCGTCTTTTCTGACCGCTCCGGACGCCATGGCAGACGCATTTGATAAGACGGTGGCGTTTTTGGCAGCCTACTCGCAGGAGCTTGTGCAAATGAAGAAGCCGACGCTTACAGCTTTGCTCAACAGCAAGCGGCGCAGTCAGGTACCAGAGTGGGAGCGAGCCAGAAATTTCTGCAGACGAAAACTTTCAAGCTTGGAGCCAGCTCAGCAGCAGATTTTGGAAGACTGGGAGTTTGTGCTTTGTGACAAGTCCACGTTGGAGGCTGCGCCTTTTCTGGCCGGCCTTCAACGCTGCTTTTGCCGCGTGGAGGCATTTTTGACAGAGACGGCAGAGGCGATAAGATACTCAAGCAAGCCAAGCTTGCTGGCAGCTTTGCAGAGTCGACACATGCAGGAATTTCAAATGTCGAGCTTTTGCCGTGTTTTCCTGCTGCGCTATAGCGACCGCTTGGCGTCTGCGGAAAAGGATTTTTTGCTTGCAAAGGAAGCTGAGTTGTGTCAAGTGAGTGCTGCGGCAAAAGAAGCTGCAGCATCGCGTCGTGCTCCTGCCTTTGTCGAAGTGCAAGCCTTCTTCGCTCAGAATGCTGTTGAAATTGCTCAGCTACAGAAGCAAA